TCATACTGAGAATGTTCCTTGCAATCATCCATAAATGTATGGTAATCTTCGTTCATCTCCATTAGGTAGGACGAAGTCATGGTCACACACATTTGTATTTGTCCTACTTGCCTGACACATCAGCATTTGTTGTCATGAATTAGTACCTATTTGTACAGACTGGGACACCCTTTCCTGTTTTATGTATTCTGATGGAGTGCCTACATTATGAGAGAGACACTGCATATTTCATCTGCATGGTACTTTGCACAGCATCCTTGACATGTCTAATGTTGTGGCATTCTTTCGTAGCATGGGGCTTGCAGCCCTGATTAAATTATTGTATTTTATGTCTTTTTAAAATTCTAATCATCCCAGCTTCTTTGGCTGAGGTGCATTAATCCTTACCTCTGTCTTCATTCACACTGTTTCATGGTATCATTGACAGGACCCTTTATAGACTGGCATATCTTTATCATTTTTAATGTACCACTCTTCTCTAATAATTTAGAAAGGCCCTGTCACAGGCTGTTGTGTTTTTATCGCCTTTTAACATACAGTCCTTGTATAGAAACTTTGCTAGTTTGTCTTCAGTTTCACTGTCAGGGTACTTTACACACTAGCTTATATGTTCTGATGTTATCTGTTGTCAGGTTGTGAACTTTGACATTGAATGTTGTACAGGTGCTAATAGCCATAGACCCTGATGGGCCACCAATCACATTTGTACCCACTAGGGTTTATACAAAAACCGACTTTTGAAAAAACCGGTATTCGAATTCCAGTATTTCCAAAAAAAAACTGTTTTCAAATTTTTACAAAAAACAAAACAAAATATAGTTAAAACATTAAAAAAATATTTATACTTATTTTAAATTTTTTCAGTTTATTTAATATTTATGGAACTACAAAAATATAACAAAATAAAATATACTCTATACAAAACCAAATAAAAAACTAAGATAACTAAAATCCGTACAAAATATGAATTATAAACTATGTCAGTTGCTAGATCCAAGTTAAAAATTTGTAGCCTCTCAGAAACTAATTCTAATGTTTTCTTAGCATCGCGAGAACTAGTTATTGGAACTAAGCCCAAATTAAAATCTTCCGCAAAATGGTGTACGTTGATATTCAAATATCTGTGATTTCTTAGTCCACTCATCTAAGTTATAGAAAAAATTTTCCCATTCTTCTTAATACAATCCAATTCATTTATAATTTCACGTTTGGCGTTGTCATAAAACTTATGAATGAGATCCATTACTCGAGAGTTGTTTTTTGGTAATGAATATCCCCGTTGTTGCAAAGACTCTTGTATGAATGAGCTTGTTGTAATGCTATTAATGGACAATCCATCCATTGCAGCAAGTTTTGCTATAATTTCTTCTAAACTTATCTTTTTACGAAATTAAAAATAGAATGCGTTTGTGGATTTGCATGTCAAACATTCGCCTGACTCATGAAGATTAGTTTTACTACAATATGCTTGTGCCCGAGGCGATTTCAAGTCAAAATATTAACGTTTTTAATTAATTAATTAATTAATTAACTAGTTTTTCCATATTAATTCTAGTATCTAAAACCGGTTTTTTAAATTTTAAAAACCGGTTTTTGAATTTTACAAATTTATCCAAAACAACCGGTTTTTAAACCCGGTTTTTAAAAACTGACAAACCCTACCTCAGCCCTTCTAGATAAATGCAATAAATAGGCCATTGCTGCTTTCACTCTCATGCTTTTTGTCTCTCTGTATGTAAGTTTTCTTCCATCTCATCAGTTTTATATAACATTTCAAATTGATAGAGCATTCTTAAATCACCTGTGAAGAAGTTAATTTCTAATGGACTGTCATGTTTGAGATCCCATGTTCAGGTGTCATTGTTCTCTATTTTCATATTGCAGGCTTCATGTCATCTCCAGCAATGCCAAATTGAATGAACAAACACAGGCAGTGGTTAGCCATCTCCAGCAAGTGGAGGCACAATTGCAGTTGATCCTAGAGTCCCTCCATTTTGATGAAGATCAAGCAAAGAAAATTGGATTTTGTAAGTCTTTTTCACATTAAACAAATTAACAGCATTCAGCATTATATTAAAAGTGAAATGTACAAAGCATGCTTTAAGATACTGGGGACCAGAATGCACATATTTGGAGTTGGAATTCTGTACTGTTATTATTGCGGTGCCAGTGTACAAGGGTGGTTAACAGTTGCTTCCCACCCTCCCAAAAAAAAATTCTGACCAGAATGACGATATACCCTTCGTGGTGGCAACACTGCTCTCACTCCCACACATAGCCATACTCTTTGCATATTCATGTGAAAATCAGTACGAAATGGTGTTGGACTCTGTCACTCCGAGCATAGAACAGCGCTGTATCATCAGATTTCTAGGTGGTGAAAGTGGGTCGTATTCTCCACAGGTTAAGTGCACAATATGGGGAAGAGACCTTATAACGTGCAAATGTGTATGACTGGTAGAACAAATTTTCTGAAGGCCTTGGAACAGGTTGCTAACTAGCCACATGGTCATGTGTAGCCAACAGGTCTCACAGATACGAACATTTGTCACGTTGATGTGATTTTGGAAAACAGACGAATTAAAATGCAGCCACAGTGTTCAAAAGTGTTGGGAGTGTGGACTCAAGTATTTGTGAACACTTGTTTTTTATGGAAGTGTGTGTACAGTGGGTCCCAAATATGCTGATATTTGACCATAAGGCACAACCCGTTCTTGTGTCTGCCGACCATCTGGACTGGACTGAATTGGAGGGAAACAAATTTCTGAAGCAAATATTGACATGTGATGAGACGGATACACTAGTTCACTCCAGAATCAAGGAGGTCCAGTTTGGAATGGCACCACAATGACATCATATCCTGAATTGGTTGTGCAGTCGGCCTACTTTTCTCTTTGCTGCCAGCATCAGTGCCTTGCCATGGCATTGGCAAAAATGTGTCAGTGTAGGGGGACACATTATTGAAAAAGAGTAATAGTTTGGTGATTCTGACATGTATGTGTTTAGTTTAAATTTAAAAAATTGTTCAGGTCAACCATGAACCACACTCAAATATCTGGATTTTATTTACAGTGTAGTAATAATAGTTGTATGATTTGAGTTTCCCACAGTTATTAAGATGCTAATGTTGTTATTCTGGGTTGTGAACTCATAGGTAGGTAACAGCATTTCTGAGAAACATACTGTCTCCATATTCAGCCCTGAAGGCAGTGTGTTTCTCCAAAATGTTGGTATCCACCTGTGAGTCCACGTGATATCACAACACAGGAGATCATCATCATAACAGTAATGATAATACCAACAACAGCAACAACTTGTTTACGTTATTACGTTACTTGGGTGGTTGCCATACAGTCACAGTACAGTCACTGACTTAAATGGATTTCCTTATAAGTTGTTGTATGTTATATTTTCCATTAGTGTGTTTGGTATTCTCATAGACTCATGTTGCTTTTATTTTATAACAGTTTCTGAAGAAGTGATGCATTCATGGAGTAAAATGAATGCTTCTGTTGGTAGAAGGATAGCAAAACTGAAGGAAATAGTGAGTCAGCTTGAAAGTAAATGTGATGTGGCAAATGGCAAGACCATGGACCTTCAGAGAAACCCATACACAAAGATGGCAGACCATGAGGTTCTTATGTCACTGTAAGTGTGAAGATGCTTCTCATTATGTCTGCTATTTGAATGTTATGTTATTCTGTGTGTGGAGGTCAGTACAGGTAACCATGAAGGTACCGGTATTTACGTGCACTGGGGCTGTAGGCTATCCAAAATTCAGTTATTATCATGAATTAGGCTGTTTAGAGTTTGCTGGCTCCAAATTTAATTCTTAAGATGTTTATCCTTTTAGAAATATTAGAATTGAATTATGAAAGGTGTCGAAACTCGTTTAATTTTAAAATTTGTGAAATCTGACTGTTAATGTGATAAATACTAGTTATCAGTTATATCTTTGTACATACAAAATTTAATTAAATGTAGTTGGTTAAGGTATGAGTGATTAGGAAATCACATCAGATTGGTAGATTATTTTTGTTGTTGCTGTCATGGTGTAGATGTTGTTATGGGTACTATATATATTGTTTTGTGGTGCATGCATTGCCTTGAAGTTACTGTTTATCATGCATAACAAAAAATAAACATGTTTCTGAATATTTCTTTCCATTATTATTTGTTTCAGTCTTGAAGAAGGCCAGAAACGCTATGACAGTTTGCGTCGGCGACCAAAGGAAAATCGGTACGAACAGACAGACAACGTTGAAATGGTGAAGATTGTGTACAACTGTTTAAAGCATCGGGATAAGCTTCTGAGGGACAAAACATTTAATGCTCATTTGCAGTAAGTAGAGTCATATCATCTGGAGATGAGGAAATGCCAGTAGCTAACTTTAGTTTTCATCCTTATATAAATCACTGTAAAAACTTTTCTGTACTGTACAGCTCTCATACTTTAGCCTGTGTTTGTTATTTGTTTGTTTGTCTGACTGTATGTGTGTCTGTTTGTTTGTTTGTTTGGAGGATTGGGGGTTAATAATCATAATCATAAACAAAAAAATTTAAAGGTAACTTGACACACAATAGTAAATTTATGCAATAAATAATGTACAACTATTAAGTAATCAGACAGTGTATGTCATTGTAATATTCTTCCCTCCTAGAATCGCTACTTTAATAAGACACCAAGATAAATGACACAAATAGTACATTCTGGAATGTAGACTCTCAAAGCACAGGGTGTGTTACCCACCACCAACTATAAATAGCTTAGTGTATGCAATGTAACAACTTATAGAAATGAAGTGGTGTATAATTATAAATTGCTCATTATGACAAAAGTGCTGGAAAAAGTTTTTTTCTTTTTTTTTTTCCTCCCCCATCCCAAATGTGTGACATTAACCCTTCAGCGTGGAGTGCCGAACATCGCTCGTCATGACGTAGTCATCCCATGGCGTGGAGTGCCGAGCACTGCTCGCATAATGCGCGCTAAGACTTCTCCTTCTTCGTAGCGACTGACCTTGTATTTTATGTATTCTGGATCCAGTAGCCATGTAGAGAAAAAATCTGGCTATCAATTGATATATAACATGACTCTGACAGATCGATTTTACCAGTGTTTTTCGACTTTGAAATATAGATCGATTTTTGAACTCAACTGCATTCTGCCTCTGCTTTGTGGCTCTCTCTAGGGAAGACAAATGGAGTAATATAGTTAAGGTTACGACGGCTGTGTAGGACACATTCCAAGCTTTCTAACGGTATATGATGTCAACGACCTTAGTCAATGCATTCTCTGTTCTCCCCTTGGTATGAACAGAATTCTATAGTACATATCTGCCGTCAGTCAGCCGTGATTATGGCTTCGAGTAGCAGGCGTTTTTTGTCTCCTCAAGACATTGCTAGAAGTGTAGACGAACCTCTAACTGATTCCGAAAGTAGCGTGTTCGATTCAGATGATGAATCAAGTGTAATCGATGATTTACCTGTGTGTGAAAGACAGTGTTTTGGTGTCCTGATTGTGAGGCTGGTCTCTGTGTTGATAGCCGTTTCAAGATATTCCACACAAAACTCAACTTTTAAGGTAAATTTTTTACCGTTCTATAAAGCATAGTGTGTTGTGAACATTTCGATCAAAGTTTCACTAAAATTCATCAATTATTAGGGAAGTTGTGCCCATATAAGTAAAATGATGCACTTTCAGCTCAAAATTAAATCCCCAAGCAGATACTCCTCCCACAGCACGGTATAGACTTGGGATTTAAATGCTCCCAAGCTGAAGGGTTAATAAATTGACAGTGCTGTTTGTTTTCTCACTGTAATGAAGTTTGTTGGTTGGTGGTTGAAACAACATGCACTTCTGTTTATCGCAACTGCTAGTACATGACTGAAATATGCAGTTGAAACATGTTCTGATATATCTACTGTGATCGCTTGTCTTTCTCCACAAGTCACACATGTGACTCACTTTCATTACTTTAGTCACTTCTCATATATGTTTCTTATAAAGGCATCTTCTCTAGTATGTAATTATTACATTGCAGGCAAGTGATAGATGTTCAGATGGAAATTGAACAGCTTTGGAACCCACTGAATTCTTCAGTCCAGGTGATAAACAAAGTACAGATGGAACTGAAGCAAACCCAGCTGGACAGGCAGCATGACATATGGCTGCAGATGGTGAGTTTGTATCTCAGGGGGTTTGTTTCTTGGCCCTTTATTAGTCTCTCCCTCTTTCCTTTTATGTTAATTACAATCATATTATATAGAAACAGGACTTCCTTTTCAATATTTCCTGTGGAGAATCTGTATTAAGAATAAATTACATGGCCTTGTCAGTTTTTCATTTCATATGCTGCTAATCGTATGAAGTTCAAATTACCAGTTTTGTTTTTGTGTGGTAATTACATTTATTCTATTCTTTTATAACTTGTGTTGGGCAAGGCCGTGGTCTAGGCAACACGGAGTTTTCCTCCGTGGCATCCCAACAATTACTCCATTCACACACAGAAGAAGGCAATGGCAAACCACTTCTGGATCATCTGCCAAGAACGTATATGAACAGGTCCCAGTCCGAGAAAAGGATCGAAGGATCCTGTTCATATGGACCTGTCGTCAGACAGAACACACACACACACACAAAAAGAGAGAGAGAGAGAGAGAGAGATGTCCTGTTATTAATTTTTAGTGACATCTTAGTTTCTAAATATGATTTCAGGTTCTCACAGTGGTGAGTGTCTTCTGGGTTGTATCACTGTGTAGTCTGGTGAAGTTTACTAACATTTCAGAGGTACAAATTGCCTCCATTATAACCCTGATGCTGGAGGCAGTAAGCACCTCTGAAAGTAGTAATCTTCACCAGACTACATTGTGCTACATCTCAGAAGACAGTCATCTTCATCTCAGTTTCTGTTCTTTTCCAGACACAAGATTCTTGTAATGGATTCACAGTACCAAGAGATCTTACAAAATCTCATGCAGTATATCGCCCAGTTGTAATTACTACATCACAGCCTTTGTCCACTAGTATGAGTATAGATAATAGAGAAGACAAAACTGAAATCTTGGTGCCAACTAGTGAACACAGTTTCACAGAACCAAAACAATTTAGGCTTACTGCATCATCTGTACAGCCAGCATTGGTGTCTAATGATCAGGCTTACAGAGACCCACCTGAACAGATGTCAGTATCCTTATCAAATTCACAATGTGATAGTTCAGCAATGATCGATTACAATGTTTCATTGAGATATGCGTAAGTAGTGTTTTTATAACCTTCATACAAATACCATAATTTCTATTTAAATTTCTCAGTCCCAGTTTTCATTTGTCTTGATGCAATTTGGTCTGCTTTTGTGTATATAATGACAGTATCTCAGCTGTGAATGTCATCTAACTTTGATATATAATTGACAGGAAGATTATTAATGGATTATTGTGAATGTGGAAGGAAACAGACCTGGTATATGTTAATCTTTGTTGTGTGGGAATAGAGCATGTAATTTCTGTAATTATAGGCCTGCTGCTATCCAGACTTTAAATCCAGTGCGAACAGTTTAGCTGTATGCTAGTGCAACACATGCACATAATGTATAAAATGTCTATATTCATTATATGAAGTGAAACTCAAATTGAACAACTACGAGTTTTCTAAAATATGGGTTATCTTTCAGAAATTTTAAAATATTAAGATCCTAGTCACCATACTGACTGAGCTATCTTAGTTCATGCTGCAAGAAAATTCATTGTTTTCCTCAATATTATTGAAGTCAAAGACAGTACCATGAAATACTTCCTTCTCATAATGCATGCTTTTCAAGCAGTGTCATTAAATAATATATGACTCTGTCAGTCAGCAAGATGTTGGGTTTATTTTAGGACTCAGGATTTGATGAACGAAAGTTTCCAGCACTACCGCAGGGTCTTGAATGAAGATCAGTCTCTGGACTGGGCATTCCTTGAAAAGCAGGATTAATCAAAAAGTCAGGCAGTTTTGCAGTTAATTAGGTAAGATACCTCAAGCAAAAAATATAAAGTGTTCATCTCATTAGTGTCTGTGCTTTTATGTAAAACATTTTTCTGTTTTCATTCAGATTGTTTTAAACTTGGAAATACCTTCAAGTTCTTTGACTAGATGAACAACTGTTAGCTTCTCAAGAAGGATTCTGTTTAATAGAGTCAGTTTAAATGTTAATTTATATCTTTTTTTGCAAAAATCTAGTTCTGATTAGTCAATTAAATTCATATTTAAATTAATATAATTTTGTTAATTTTTCTGATAGTTATCAATTTCTGACATCATTCAGATGCTAAAGAAATGGTGTTATAGGCAGAAACATTAGTGGAAAATACATTTTTGGATGAAAATCTAAACCAATCAAAAGAGAGGACATGAGATGCATAGACTAATGGTCATGTATCATGAATATGCATATGGAACATGTAAATTCAGAAATTCTCTTTGGTGTTTGTGTCACAAATACAGAGTTGAACAACAGAAATGCCAGTAATGTGCACAACAGTTCACCATTACTCATGAAAGAAAGGTGTATATTTCTATTTGTTTGTCCCTCATAATCAGTTTTACCTAAATGGCCAAGTTTCGTCGTGTTCTGTTTTAAGGACTGGTGTATTTACAATTGCTCTTCATTGCAAAATCTTAAAAAGTTGAGTAGGTCTACTTTTACATCTTTTTGAAAATATACATCTTCCTTCCAATATTAAGTAGGTCCCATTTCACCATAGCATGGCGCATCGTCAGGTTGCAGATGGAGGAGGTCGCCTCCAGGTATGGAGATTAGATATGAATCGATTGAGTAAGCAATTGCAGATAAATGTCATCTAAAAACTGTGTGTGTTGGAAGATACCAGCAAAGTAACATTATGTAATTTTAAGACTGCATTTAATAACTTTCAGAAACTGGAAAGCTTTGGTGACAGAATGTAGCCACAGATGGAATCATTAAATTTCATTACACATTTTATCATTTTAGATGTTCTTCACACTAGCATGAACAATGAATACCTTGTGGGCCTTCCTATGAGGCAGGCAGCCTGCATTCATAGGGCTAATTGTTCTGCAAAAATTGGGATATTGTAATACGTTGTTGAACAACAGAGGGTGGTATCAAATTGTTGGAACATGTGCAACAGTGATTTCAGATCACATTGCAAGAGTGGCCTAATGTGGAACACAATCCCTAGAATCACATTTGTGCAACAGTGGCCTGTATGGTGTGGTGCTAAGAACATCTGTGAGCACGCCTTTCCATTCTTCTTATTGGTATAGAAGCATTTTGAAAAAGTAGAGCAGCAAGTACTTCCCAGGACATCTGACTACCTCAACCTTTAGTTCTCGTTTGGTTGAATAACCGACTTTTACGCAAGATATAGATGGTGTTTTCTCATTCTGTTTCAGAACTGTTAAGCACTCCATATCTCTACATCACTGGTAATCAAACAGGTGTGCCACAAATGAGTGGGGATGAAGCAAATTGTGTGCAATAAACAGATCACTAAGCTTAGTGCTTAGATGGATCTGAACACAAAAACCAGATGTGTTAAATTCTGTCTTCAGGCTTTTAGAATTTATGATGCAGTGACTGAATTGACGAGCAGTAGGTAAGAAGCAGTTCTGTTGTAAGATACCGAAGTAGCATTCTTTGAGGAGGACTGGAGATACCATGAAATCTATTTGCTTTCAAGAAAGTTGTCTGTATATGATCCTCTAACAACTAGTATCTGCAGGATGTATAGCATTAGTGGTAGTGTTCATCTAGCTATGCCAGCAGTTAGCAGAGTTGAAATCTGTTTTACATTAACTTACTTCTGGCTGAAACAGTTAGTATACTGATAATACTCTCATCTTGTTTTGTACATACCTCAACTTTGCTACCAATTACCATTACTGAAGATGGCTGTCTTCTGAGTTGTTACACCATGTAGTATGGTAGAAGTTTATCAACATTTCAGAGGTTGCTACCAGGTGCTTTCAGACTACACTGCACAACAAACCAGAAGACAAGCATCTTCATATTTGCTGCTGTGAGAATCTCATTGTTGAAATTTTTATGGTTTCCTGTGTTCTGATAAATGCTGGAATGGAATCTTCAGACAGACTTGTGTAGCAACTGAAAGTTTTAAAAGGGCGCCTATTAATGTCACCATATCATCTGTCTGTCCGTATATAACATCTTAAGGACAGCTGAACAAATTTTCAGTTTTGGTTACAATAACTGGCATTTTACATGAACACCTATGTGCTTTCTTCATGTGGGTGTGACTGGATGGGGAATCTTCTGACTGTGTTGGTTGCCTGGGGAGTTACTGCCACCCACACAACGCTGATTTCACTAGTGCCATTCACAAAGATTTAAGGTCAAGTTCTGGCAAATGTGCTAGAATTGTTGCTCTGTGTGTATGTTTCCTAATTTCTCAAATTTGTAACCTACCCAGCATCCATATTCATATCCTCGCCTCATTGGTGATATTAGCATACATGTCATTTAGTAACCAAAGAACAATTTTCCTTCATTGTAAGAATATTCCAGTTTTTCTCATATTGAATTTATGTGTTGATTTTTTTATGGGTGAGTATTTTGATGTCTTTTCTGGGAAAGTTGCTCTTATGTTCCATTTCAGGAATTTATACTGCCTCTTTTCATGTTAATGTTTAATTTTGTAAACAGTAGGCACAATGCAGCTGAGCTCTTGTGCCAGTATAAATTAAATCTACAGCAAAGAAATTGCATGACATTTTTCATCAATTAAAATCTGTGTATTGCCCACTGTTTGCTTTATACCTGAAAGCAGAATTACATCGATTAATAAAATTCTGCAAATGTGGAGTGAGGAAAAATTCTGCCCCCTCATTGTCAGAAGCTTGTTTTATTTTCATGTGTCAGCAAGAATTGCATGGCATTTATTACATATATATTGTTATATCACCTCTTATAAGGGATTAGTGATAGAATTACAATATGGAATGTTTTTGGCCAGTATCATTTGACTAAACCATTTACAGGGGTGGTGTTGAGTAACAGTGCCTTTCATGAAATGTTCCTGCATGTCTTATATGTGGTTTTAATTTTTTTATTTCTACTTTTTATTCCCTCTGTATATATTTTATCTTTGTTACTTTTGTATTTTAATATGAACTTGGGAGGATTGTTATTATTAAATTATATCTGTTGTGTTGTCTGTTTGCATTGTGTGCAGTATTTTAATATATTTGCTGTTATATATGTGGACCTCACATATTTGTGTCAGTTCTCTGCAGCCTTGCTTCTGTGGAGACAAATTTTTAAGACGAAAGAAGAACCACTGCATAGCCAAACTGCGTACTGTAAGTCTCAATAGGATATTCCCACATGTATATGCAGTTCAGTTTCTATATTTCTTTGTCATTTTCACAAAATATTTGCTTTTTAACCCATTTCTCCTGCTACTTTCTTCATTTCATGATAAAAAAAATCATATGGTATCAATTCTGTCTGCATAAGTGTATCTCCAGTTATCAAGAAGCAAGGTATGAACATTTTTCCACTGAATGCCATCTGATTTTTTGTGTTTTTTAATTACTTGCCCTCAGCAGACTGGTGTAGCAATAGGACTCTTAGATGCCACATAGATGACATATGCCACAACTGCCTCTGTACTAAAGCTATGACCTGCTTATCATTTATGATCATTTTCCATCTCATCCAATGATTTGCAGTTTTAATTGTATTGTTAACTAATTTAAGAATCATTCAGTGTCCATGAAGTTTAGCATTTCATAAACTTTGACATACTACTCTGTTTGCAGAATGTTAATGCTACAATTATCCCCGCAGGTAATTTCATGTGCAGTTAAGTTACGAGGTATGCAGGACTAGATAGTTAATAGGAAAACTTTTAAATCTTGACAGATGTTTGCTTAGCAGGTCAGCCTTGATAGAGTACAGAAGCATGAACAGAGGATATGAACAACTGAAGGTTAGTGAAGGCTGAAGGTATACCTGATTGTTGATAAACAATAATACTAGCACTTTTGATCTTTTGTTTACTTCCACTGTTGATGGATATGATGTAATAATACACTGGTAGCACTGACACACAATAGACACAGTTTGTTACACTGAATAAATTTTGGTAACAAGAAATGTTTCCTCACCAGAAGTTGCTTTTTTTTTATCTGTTACTACACAAAATTTTGGGAATCTGCAGTAAGGGGCACAAGTCTGTACATTATTGGTTTTATTAATAGTATCAAATTAAAGAGCACAGAAGTGGGGTGTCCTGTAGTGACATGATGTTCATACCAAGTTTCATGAAAATGTTGATTAAAATGTATTAGTGGGATTGAGACATGGACAGGCTTGTGGATATGAGAATCTGTGTGGTAAAATAGTAAATGTAAGCTAAAAGTTTGTTCTTCCATTACAGATATTAAACCTTTTACTTATACCCTGAACATACTCATATAGAGGTATATTACATCCATGGTAAACCATGTAGGTACTATTAGAGTAGAGTAGTCTCAATTTTTAAAACATATCAATGATGGTTAAAAACTGCATTGTTTCCGTCACAGAAGAAAGAGATTTTAAGCAGTATTAAGTTTGTAATTTTTATTGTCATAGTTTTTAGTTTTAATTCTTTGTGGTCCAAGATGAGAAACATGTTGTTTTTAGAAAACCTGCAAGGTAGAGACATCTTGGAAGAACCAGACATAGTTTGGAGGATAATATTAAAGTAATTTGGTAATTTTAAAGTTATGTGTTGTGATGGTATGGAATGAATTCAGTTTGCTCAAGCTAGGGTATAGTGGGGTAATGTTTTGTATGTGGTCCTGAAATTACAGATTTTATATGGTGCTGAGAACTACTTAGCCAGTTGACATATTAGTATATAATGTGCCTTCCAGTAGTTGACCATGAAAGAATTAAAATTATTTTAATTTTAACATAGAAGCATCTCACTGACTTAAAAAGTGGATGACCTGTAAAACAGGATTTTTATTTACTTGTATGGGAGTGAATGTGTCAGTACAAGATGACTTACATCATCTTCCATATATCTCTTTTAAATATAACATTTACATTAGTGTTTTATTGATACAAACAAATTTCAGTGTGTAAATCAGGGCATCGAGACCAGATTGATGTAGACGTGAAAATGTTGATACTTTCCATTGTTCGGTGTAATTACACATTCATAGTATCTCTGGTCTGTCCTGTGTCATCTGTATTTGTTTGTCCACCCCTGTTATATGTGACAGTAGAAAACCTGAAAATCAGATCTCTTGTATATTATATTTTAATTTTCAGGAACAACTCAGCATTATATAAGCATTTAATATTTTATACTTATTCACATACATCAACTACATATAATAAAACAGGAGATTAATGTCCTTATGTTTATTTAATTATGCATTACCAAAATAAAGGGGTCTAATTAAAAAGAATAAACTCTTTCATCCTTCATTTTTGTGTTAAGGTAATAAGCCATTTCTTGTTATAGTAACTTATAAATTTGCTATATGAATGAATAAATAAAATAAAATACCAATATGATTCTACTTCCTGCCACAAAATATCGTGATCTACCAGAGTGTGGCATATCCAATACTGTCATGAAACTCTTTACATCCCATGGCATAGGTGGTGCATCAACCTTGTCATTGAAAGAGCCCAAATGTAGACAGAGTTAGATCTGGAGACCTGGATCTCCATAGAATGTGTCTGCCACATCCAGGTCATTGTTTTGGAAAGGTGTCAGTAAGGAACTATGGAGTGGGGCACCATCTTGCTGAAAAATCAGATTGCCTACATCCAACTACATTGAAGTAACACCAGAACATATCACATGGTTCCTCTGTTAGGCCATCTTCCTATCCTTTTCATCGTACAAAGTAACAAGCTTTGATACACAATTTGTGCCAATTGTAAATTGATTACCTTGTTTGAATTGCTTTACCTTACGTTAAGTTTCTTCAAATTTCAACATGCAGGTAACACATCGACCAGACTACACAGCGCAATAACCCAGAAGACAGAAATCTTCATACTCACTGCTGTGAGAACCTCAAGTCTTACAACTATTTCTGATCCTGTAAAGTTCTTTCTCTGGCACTGGTGCCACAGTGGCAGCCATATTTCATTTGTAACAAAAACTTTGAGTTATTGTACAAACCATTAAGTATCAATCTTTCTCATTCAGTCATATGGCATTTTATATCTTTCCTTGTTCAATTTAGTTTGGGATCAATATGTTTAAAAATTACATTCATGTAACAACTTTTACTGTAGACAACCGAAAATCGAATTTTGTCAAAATCCGTGAAGATGGCTGTGTTCTGGATTGTTGCACCGTGTAGTCTGGTAGAAGTTTACCGATGGTTCAGTGTCGTTGCCACCTCCATCATCAGGGCAATGAGTGATAATGGAGGCAGCAAGGACCTGTGAAACGTCGGTAAATTTCTACCAGTCTACACAGCGCAACAAACCACAAGACAGCCATCTTCAGACTCACCGCCGTGGAAACCTCAAATCCTACTTATATTTTGTTAATTTTGCATTGTATCTCATAAGTTTAACAAGACAAATTTGAAAATGCCGCTCGCGGAAGAGGAGGGAAATTTAGGGAAATTATTTACAATATGATGTCTGCATGATTGAAGAGATATGATACGTGAAGGGATATTTGCAAAACCTAATTGCTAAGTGGGTTATACATGTTGCCTTGTGTTTAAGTATAATTTATAAGGTTTCCAAAGTGTTTGTTGGAAAGTAGTGACAGATTGTGTAAACTGTGAGGCTGCAGAAAGAATATATAATGTCTGTGTATGTGTTTGAATGGACTCGGACAGTTATATCTCAGCAGTATCTTGATTCCATGTCAGTTGATTCTCATACCGACAAGAATAATGTAATAAAAGAAATGGCTTTGACAGCGAAGGTTAAAGTTGAATGGAATAATAAAGGCCAGGTATTTTTGGAAGGCGCATGGGAACACATAATGAAAATACATGTAAGTTAATGCAGATGTCACTGTTATTTACTCTAGGGTTAGCCAGACACCTTCAACGTGGATGAAAAATATGTATAGGAGTTTATGAAGTAAAAGTAAGCTGTCGCTTGTTCATAGAGCTTTCTTGATCTTCTTACTTCATAGTTTGAAATTTATTTACTGACCTGTAACTTTTTCAATCAGAATATGTGTTTAGATTAATTTAACATTAATAAGCATGCAACTAAGGGAACAAGATTTTGAAAGTTCAGGAGTGGGCCTAATGAAAGGTGAATGACATACAGTTGCAGTGTGTTCAGGAGCTCCAAAATTTATTTACATATAACAAGACCAAAGAGGATGGAAATGGTATACATCATTTAAGGTTACAACAGTATTAAACATATGGTACAGAAGTGAGTAACACAATAAGGAAATGGCTGGAAAATTGTCAAATTAGTGGAAGGAAAAAGAAATGAAGGTAGTAACAATAATTACTGGCTTCAAAAAGCTACATAATTGTGGATGTTGGAAGGATTTCAAATTTGGGGGTTGGGCTAAGCAAACTGAAGCAAATACTGGAGGATAAAATGTTGCCAGAGAGAGAGAGGAGGGAGGTGACTGTATCACTATACATACTTATTCCTGTTCTTGTCTGTGATCTTTCATTTCACTGACAGTTGTTTTAATTCAGTGATGTTTATGCATGGTCTACATGTAGACCTAATTTTCTTTGTCAGCCCTTGTTCTAGTGTATGTTTTCTTGATCAGAACTTCTGTTATATTTGTCATAAATAAATTATTGATTTATAGGGTTTGTAATGATTTAATCATTTGCAGATGTTATCCTATCATTACTTCTTCTTCCATGGCCTCCTCAATTCTCCTCTTCCATTTGGTCCTTCTGTTAGGTCCGTCAGTCCGAGGTTGTATTTGTCATAAATAAATTATTGATTTATAGGGTTTGTAATGATTTAATCATTTGCAGATGTTATCCTATCATTACTTCTTCTTCCATGGCCTCCTCAATTCTCCTCTTCCATTTGGTCCTTCTGTTAGGTCCGTCAGTCCGAGGTTGAGGTTTCGAAACAACTTCCTTTTTACAGTGCAAGGTTGTTAGCCTTGCGCCCAACCCCCAACCTGGAGGCCCAGGGTACCTGTCTTATTCTGACCTCTCCCCCTCGACCAATCTGGCTTGGGAGGCCCTACCAGTAGCTATGCTACCACCAACATAGCTCATGGGATCACTGAGGTACTCAAGCCCCACCACCACGCCAAGGTGCAGGTACCATTAAGTGGGGTATTATACAAATTTATTACATTCCATGGATCCATAAGATAGTCAGATGATAATAAGATGTGGAATAAGTTGTAATAATATATTACATATGCTTATTTCAAGTACAATTCATAATTTATATTTGTATTAGAAACAAGTATTATATTTGTGCTATGACATGTTCTATATCCTTGGCTTGGGCCTTTGAAGGATCTGTGGAATATAAATAAATTGTTTTCTATTCTGTACTGTTATACAATTTTACATATTATGAACACAGGAATAACATAATTAGTGATATGTTACAAATATATTCACCCATTATATGCAGTAGATAAATTTTATTACTCACTTATATTACATGAAGACAAGAAAACCATAATTAACATGATATATAGGATTTGTGGTTTTCATGGTGGTGAGTCTAAAGATGGCTGTCTTCTGGGTTGTTGCACCCTGTAGTCTGGTAGAAATTTACTGACATTTCAGAGGTCCTTGCCTCCATTATCAGGGTGACAATCATAGTGCAACAACCCAGAAGACATCCATCTTCAACATAATGACATGTTTGTGAACATTTGGAATTCATCAACAGAGTAAATTGAGTATGTAATTAAGTATCTTTTTAATGCTACTTTTAATTGTGCCATTTTATTTAGAACGCTCGTTAGAATTGTGGGACTACATTTATGTTATCTGAACTTGAGTGGTACATCAGAAGTTTATCCTTTCATAATTTATTTGTTTCAGATTATGCTGGTGAAGTATTTAAAAATCCCAAGTCAGATGAATGATGAAGATGAAATTAAGGAAATTGTGACACCACCTTCTAGCAAGCCATTACCAATAACTCCTGTGCTCAGTTCTCCAGTTCCAAAGACAAATGCCAAAACAGTCATACGTTACATCAGACAGAAATATTTAAATGCAAGTCGTCGAAAGAAAGAACTGCATCTCCAAAACAATTTGGCAATACAAAGCAAGAAAACAGAACCTGAGGTATGCTAGAGTCATTTATAAAAGATGATTATGTGATTGTAAATGCCTGAGAAGTTCTGATAAATAAATTATTTCGTATTTTTATCTGTACTTCATTTTAACACTGCACATCATCTGAAGGTGTTACTGTATCATCAGGTGGTATACTTATTTTTGTTTTGAAGCATTGTTACATTTTTCTGTTTATATTTCCAGACAAATATTTTAGCTAAAACTATAAGCTATAGAATTTAAAACACGGTACATCCCAAAATTCAGAATGTAAATATGGATTGTATTGAACCTTGCTTTATTATAAACAAAAGATATCACAGTCAAATGTATTTGCATGAGTGGAATTTCTCACTGTAACAGAGTATGTTCTGTTAGGCCTTTTCATGCTTATGGATGCCATTCTTTTAAAGTCTTATTTTATCAAAAAAAGTGTAATTTCTTCACCAGGTTTCCATTGTGGCTGAGTGATTAAGCACTCCTTATTTGGATGTCCAGGGTTCACATCTTGGCCTGGAGACTGGCTATTCTGACTGACAGGTTTTCCTCAGTCCCTCCAGACAAATACCATGATAGTACTTTAAATTAAACCATTTCCACTCCCTTTATAATTTATCATTATTTATTAATTATTGTGTCATCTATGCCAGAATATTGTCACAAGATGGATGAGATGAAGGAAATGATGAAATGAAATTATCTATAATAATTGGACATCAAAAACATAGGGGAAAGCTGATTCATAGTTGTTAAATCATGGTATGAGTTTTATCCAATAATTTATTAAGAGGACAAAGAAAAGATAATAGTCTGTCCTCCAACGATTTGTTTCAGATCAAAAAGTCATGGTAGTAATGAAGTGGACTAGTATTATGGTAAGAAAACTTGATGTGGGACTCTTGTTTTCCATATAATGTCAGTCACTGAATTATTTTTGCTCCAGTTAGTGCATTTCATTCTTTGAAGAAACAGATTATATTTCTGTAGCTGAAATAATAGTGAGATGCTGTAATTGCTAGGTTCATTATATTTTATTTTTGTTTCAGATTGAAGAGACAGTTGCTGCAAGGAACAGTAATGATGAATCAAAACAAGAGAATGAAGTTTATGTAAACATCACAGTTAGTGGCGATGTTGGCAGCTTAACAGGACTGTTATTACCAGTTACCAGTTCAGGTCAAGAGACTCTCGCACAGTTACCTTATCAGGTGTCTGTGTCTGAATCTAACCTGAGTACAGATGCCGTGCTAATTCTGGAAAAGAACATTAAGAGTGAAAATGACGTTGCAGTTGATGGTAATAATTCTGGGCAATCAGTTTGCCATTATGAGTTGTCCAACAACTCTGTTATAGAAACATGTCGAAGAGCAGACTCTGTTAACGCAAGACAGGAGTTTGTAGGAGAGAACATTCATGGCATAAAGGATTTTATGACACATGTAGTGCAAGACAATACAGATGTTGGTAGAACTATTTGGCATAGCGATAATAAGCAGTTTTTTCATAATCAAGAGGCTTGTAGAAATGAAAGTACAGACATTCTCTATTCTCTTAGTTGTGAATCTGCAAATTGCAATATTAAGTCAAACGATGCAAACGTACAAGAAACTGACATGCAGAATGGCAAGAGATGTGTAAAGAAGAAAGATTATGAGAAGCTGGCACCATTTAAATTTTTCTGCACACTCTGCTCATTTAAATCAAAGCGTGAAAGTCATTATCAACGTCATCTGGAATTGCATTCAAAAGTAAGTAATAGCTGAAGACCAGTTAACACTGAAGTAGTTTTGATTTCATGATGATTAATCACGAACCACTGTAGCTAAGTATATGAATTGTTATTTGATAAGAGAACATAATCTAAGAATATTTATGAAAAGTAATTGTTATTCAGCTGTTGAACAGTATCGTCCAGTGTGCACACATCTACTGCCAAATGTTTTCAGAAATATATGTTTTATTTATGCTGGGTAACCACAGTACAAATGTAAATATAGACTAAATTAAATGAAAGGAGACTAAGCTAACATAATATTATCTGCCATAACTTAATCTGTCACTTAATTTTGATTTGATGGGAAAGTATAATAATATGTCTATTCCAGTTACAGACATCTGTTGGTAAGCATTGTAACTGAATCAAAACAGTATGTGAGCAAAATTTTTAGGAATACATTACTGGTGCACCTACTGTGTTTATACTTATTTATTTATTTATTTGTAGTTTATTTGATGATGTGTCATTAGTTCAGATTGTGTAAGTATGTATGTGATACATAACCTCTCTTCTTTCTTTCTTTTTCTAACATGGAAGATAGGTGCCACAAACTATATTTTATGTGACGATATAATAACTTATTAATATGATAACTGTGATGTGAGATTAATGTTTGTCTTTTGTGTTCAAAACTGCCAACATTGAAATAATGTAAGTGTTTTAATGTTATGTTTACAAGTTTTGTGTGCTGAGATACATTTAGATTTTAATGATATGAAAGACATTTGATGATCTCCTTGGCTGGCAGTGCATTTGTAAAGATTAATACAAATTTCAAAATGGGAATTATTTTTTTGTATTTTTATTTTACTTTTAAGGTATCTGAATTATTCTCATGCAAGAAGTGTGACTTCACAACGATCAGATTAGGTCATCTACGGCGACACGAAATGAGCCACAGTGATACAAAGTTTGTGTGTGATATGTGTCACTATCATACTGACCATCATAAATTCCTATTGAGGCATCAACGTATTAAGCATGCCAGTATACAGGTCAGTGTTTATGTTTAATTCTCATTGTATTACTGATACTAGAAATCTGTAATCCACTCCTTTCAACTGATGACTGCAAAGGCAAATGATGACTTCTGTTAGATGCAGTAAAATTATTTGTGGTGTGGATATTTAAATATTTAGGTTTACATGTTAAAATGTACATAAGAATAGTAATGATGGTACCTCAGACTATGTTGTAGATTCTGTCAATAAGATTTTTTGCAAACAATAACATTTATTCAGTAAAGTAGACTGCTTGCCTTAATATGTTTTTTAAAAACAGCAAGTAGCACAACTTAGGCAGCATATTAACATGCCAGTAGCTAGTATGTTAAGACACTTCTTGCTCATTGCTGATCCAGGGACAGGAGAACATAGCACAGAAAGAGTTGCTGAGATGTGTTGAGTGTGCGTACAGCACGACACGGCCATACTTCTACAAGCGACATTTACAGGCTCATACAGGTGCAAACAGTTCCCTACTTAGGGATGAGCACAGGTTCCACTGCCAACAGGTAAGTGTTCTATGAAACACGACTATTTAAAAAGCTGCAACCCACATATTACTTGAGATTTGAGGTTGTCACAGCATTGCAGATGTCCATTGTGGCCTTCTGAACTGTAATGCCATGTGCACATGTAGGTGGATACCAACATTTCAGAGGAACATACTGCTTCTATCCTCAGGGATGGAGACGTGTTCCTCCAAAATGTTAGTACCTACCTACAAGTCCACATGGTGTTACGGCCACCATGGACATATGTACTACTTCCCATAAGAAATAATTAAGAAGTATCTTGAGTTACATTCTGTGATTCTAGTGTTCCATAACTAAGTTCATAATAATCATCTTGAGCAGATGGTAATTCCACACCTGACAAACAAGTTTCCCACAGTAGGGGTGACTTTGAAAGATCCTTGTGTGCTGCTAAGGTATATGCAATGGTTTGGAAGTAAAGTGGACACAGTGTTACACATGGCATGGTGATCACAGGAGCCTGGTGCAGGCCTACATTTAACAGGGACTGGTATTGTTATGTAATTTGTGATTTTTAAGTCATTGGTCATTAAGCAGATACTGTCTAAAACCTAATGTGTATTTTATGCATACTTGAAACTTTTGTTCTTGTTGAGGTACAAACAAAAATGTATGAGACCCTTAAAATAAATTAAGATGAATGAAACTTGTATATAATAGTTTATATATAGTACAGATTGTACCATGTAATTTTCACCCATATTGGTAACATATTTTGGGTGCTGTTACTTCCAGACAATCATGATGAAAATTATTTCATAATATTCATGAAAGATACTACCTCATGCATTTGAAATTCAAGTATTGCATTATTATTTTGTTCTTCAGTGTTCATACAAGACAGGTCGCAAGGTTCACTATATCCGACATGTAAACAACGTGCACAACAATAAGCGTCCATATCTGTGTGATCACTGTGGTAAAGCATTCAAGCGGCCAGATGCCCTCAAACAGCATCGTGTAACTCATGTGGAGCTAGACCCCAATCTGGGAGCATTCCGCTGTCCTGTGTGTGGCAAATGTTGTCGTGCCCAAGCTCAGCTCACCCAACACCTGGTAAGTGTCAGCTGCACTGATCAGCCTTATATAGGCCTGCCAATGCTAACTTTATGCCTGATCTATAGCTGTCTAACTAGCAATATTACTATTTCTTAAGTAAAGTGAAGCTGTCCCACTATATGCCATGTAGGCGCTTGGGTGAAGTGGAAGTACCCATTGGATGAGAGGCTGAGTGGACCCCAGAACCGGTCTAGATGCAGAGGCTAGATGAAACATCCTGTGCCCCCATTGGGGATCGAACCCCAGTCATTCAATCTGTGGCCAGTCACTATACTGACTGAGCTCTTACTTAATATTTTTAAGACGTCTCAAACAGAAAACCAGCTGTCCTAACTATGGTTTCTTTAACTCTTCTAGGAAAATGGTGTGATAGTCTCTTCAGTAGGCCACTACTGCTTTTCTTCCAATTCACCATATTTAATCATCTTAGTTAATGCCTAATAATGTCACAGTGGATAGTTTCTCTCCTAGAATTCTCACATGGTTGCATGAGAGCTTTCTGTCACAGGTTAAGAATCAAAATACATTTTAGGCATTGGTTAAATTTGTGCTGGTTTCACAGGCTGTCCATTCTAATGTTCGTTCCTTCCTGTGTGAGATTTGTGGATCATCCTTCAAGACTCGTGCAGTGCAGCGCAAACATGTTCTCACCATTCATAAGAATCCAAAGGCTTTCTCCTGTTCACAGTGTTCACGTAAATTCAACACCAAATATGCCTTAAGACGTCACATGAAACAACACAGGTAAAAATATGTCCTTGTATATCCAATAAAGAGTTTGGGGTGAGGTCATATATAAATTGTTTACAGTCATCTCTGAATTATCGGAGTGTGGTTATCTGTGTTTTTGAATAACCAGTAGTCCATAAAATGTAAAGCTTGTGTGGAAATTCCATATGTAAGCAAGAAGTTATAGGAACAGCTTATTGTACCTGCTTTCTATGGTGGAAATTCCATATGTAAGCAAGAAGTCATGGGAAAAGCTTATTGTACCTGCTTTCTATTAAATGCTTTAGTTCATATAGAGATGCTAGCAGGCATTATAAAGTAATAATTACGCAATTTAGTGATCCATTTCTGTTTATAATTTCTGCTGATACATACTCCAGATACATTAAATTTGTCGTAGATGACCTCTGAGTTTTGTATCATTACAATTTTTGTACTTGTTAACATAAGAAAATGTTTTTGTGCATATTTGTGATGATGTGTGTGTGTGTACCAAATTTCATGTTTCTATCCCATCAAACTGAAAGCCAAAGTGGCCTCCAAGTTATAATTTCACATTCTGCTGAAAAGTTATTTTAGCAGCAATTTTTTTCTCTCTCTCTCTCTAAAGACAAAATTTCAGGACCATCTTTAAGTGTTATTAGTGGGATTTTTAACTCCAGAAGTACCCAGAGCTACCATGATGGTTGGAAGTTAAAAATTAGAATCATGAAGTGGCTTCTGGTGACACGATGTTTGTACCATGTTTCGTGGAAATCTGTCAGTTGGTTTTGAAGTTTGAGGAGAAGGTATCACATGGATGTGATGATGACGTAAACCTGTCTCAGCTAAAGGCTAAAGAAATGAAAGTGTACATGCATATCAGTTGACACACACAGAGCAAATACACATATATACATACTGTACTTGTTCCATTTTCGTTTAGGTTTAAATATACATGCATATTTGTAAAGAGAGCTTAGAACTGTGAAAATAATGAATAGTTGAAATTGATTCCTTTGTTTTTATATTTTGTTTTCTGGTTTTTACTAATCTCCCCCCTCCCCTCGGTCTGTTGCAGTCTGGACAAGAAGCGCAAGCCTAGTGGTAGTACTGATGAACGTGCAGTTGAATTTCTACCAAACAGAACACTCTCACTGCAGACAGAGCCTGAGGAAAACTTAAATGTGCTTCAGAGTGAACCTGTCTTAATTCAGGAAGCACCCAGAACTCACATGCATGACAGTCAGACAGCAATAACTGTGCAAGTAATTGGATTCATGCCATATTCAGATACAAACTGAGTAAATAAAATTACTACAAATTTGTGCATCTCAAATATTTCTGTTTTAAATCCTGAAATTGTTACGATGCAATTTTGTTTTTGGTGTGTTCTGTGAAATGGTGATAAAGATGGAGAAAACAGTTTTTCAGCTCTCTGGTTGTCTCTCTCTTTGATAAACTTTCAGGGAGTGTTTCTCTGTACCACTTACCATTAATGGCAAATACAGAAGTGGAATATGTTACGTACATACAGTAATTTCAGTCACAATAGAAACTACAACCATTATCACTGGATGGTTCCTGGCAGTGATGGGCATTGTTCGTATAAGCTGAGACTGAAGCATCGTTCTTTAACCTTCATGGTAAGTAAGAGATAGGATGCTTGTTGTAAAGCTAATCCTACATTAAACTTTCCTGTTCTCATGAACAAGCCTCTGGAAACTGAGTCATGTCTGTATCTGATATTGAGAAAATTCCACTGCTATAATTTAGGTTAGATTAATTTCTAAGATTTTTAATCTGCCAGTATTTAGGATAACCACTACAGTTGTGTCAACTTTTAATCCATTAATAAGCAATTTAACATTTATGCGTATGCCCGTTATGCCCTTAGTAAACTGGTTTACTAATTGAATGTTTTACACATTTTCTAAAGTTGAAGATGTATGGTATGATGGGTTTTTTTTGTTTCAGGATATACTCATAGTGAATTGAAGTGAAAATACTGAATTACCATCCTGTAACACTTGGCCCTTAATCCACAAAGATGTTTTGTTTGTGTGTGTGTGTGCTAGTTTCCTTTATTTTATAATTCCTCTTTGTTATTTCTCTTCATGTACTCATGTGAGCACTTACCATATTAGGGGGTGGTATATTGCCTTCATTAGTGGATCAGTAACCCAAATGCAGTGACTAAACAGAGGTAAAAGTTGTACTTCACTTAGTTATACATATTCCTGTTTCTAGGGTAGGGGACTTGTGTTGATGTGAAGATCATGTTTGCAAGTTTGAGTCCTGATGTATTTGCATTGTTTCTAGGGTAGGGGACTTGTGTTGAGGTGAAGATCTTGTTTGCAAGTTTGAGTCCTGATGTTGTATTTGCACAAATATGCATTAAAATTGTGCACTTGTTAAATTATACAAACTGTGTTTCAAGGCTTCTGTGTGGAACTCATATCAAGAGCAACTGGAAATAGACACCATAATATTCTAAACAAAATGTCTAATTGTTGTTTGTAAAGAATACACAGTCCAACAACTTTTTGTTAATAAGCAAAAAGTAACTGTTATAATTCACATTGTGAGTGTTATTTGCACTGCACTGATGAGGCTAGAAGTGTAAGGGAAGCAGGTATTTATTTTATTTTTCTGTAATTCATTGTCATTCTGATTTAAAATTTCCATGTTTGAATGTGAGCATGAACAATTTAATTTGCAAAAGATGCATACTTTAGAATCATTTTTGTTTCATAAAGCATACCAGTGCTTTATACAAAGTATGAATTGCTATTAGCCTGTAAAAGGGCAGTTTTTTAAACTGGAATCTTTAATAAGATGTAAAGAACCTTTGAGTTTTAGGTATGGATGTCATTCATCTCAGCATGGACTTAGTAGTACGTGGCATTTACACGAAAGCCTTGAGAAGCTAAATAAACAGTTAAGCCTAGATGAGTAACATTACCCACTCCTCGCTTCAATACTGAAAGTGGGCAGTATGTTCCTCCGAAACGTTAGCATTCAATCTAACCCAGATCAAGATCTGTATTCTGCTGACTTAATTTCTGTATCAGAAATAGGCAACGTATTAGGATTTGCAATGAATGATGGATTTCTACCGCGTGTGATTGGAGAGACCCAACAATCGCCGAGTTAAAGTGTCTTGCGTGAAATTAAAAGCAACTTCGGACTATTGGCCATAAATTTGTAACATTTGAATTACAATACGGTGAAGAACGAGCGACAAAAATCTATGAACAATTCCATGTCGTGTCAGATTACATTTTCTGCAATCTCTTAGTGAAAGAAGACCATCTGCTCCATTAATTTAACTTCTGGCTGCATGACAGGAATGTAACTCGATAGATTGCGCTAGTAGTGACAAACAGTCAGTGCCATATTGTGAAGCATAAATTTATTGTAATCTGCACGAAATAATGATGGATTTAGACGAGAAAGAAATGGATCAACAAGAACTGGAGGAAACGGTATTTCGCTATATTTCATACATTTATTTCCGTTGTAGTTATTCCGTTAGATTATTTCGTCGCGTGATTTAATATCATTTATTTGGTAAAGTACTCGACATTTTTACTGTAATATTTTAATATGCCGTAAAAACAAGACATTTAGTTTACTAATTGTATCTATAAGTGGTGTAGTTACTTTGTATTTTTCGTTGAGTACGAGAATGTACGTATTTTGTATCATACGTTATAAATAACATGGCCATAGTTTGTTAACGTTTAACCTATACACGTATATAATAGAAGAAAGAAACTCATACGAGAGGAGCTGGCATTACATGATACTGTGTTTATATACCGAACACTTTCTACTCCATAATTTATTAATAGATGTGCAGTATTTGTGGTGGAAATAATATGACTGGGTTAATCATTGTTTCAAGGGTTGTGGTTGGCTCTTAGTATTTCAATGTAACCAGCTTATTCTTGATGTTTTGTCTTGTAGAGTATATCCTAATTCCTTTCAGGATGAGGTGCGCAGTGACAGGAGGGAGGGAGGTAAACGTGGACGTAAACCTGGAAGGAAGGCTGCTGACAAAGTTGATATGAAGGCAAAACTTGGTGAATTTGCATTTTTTCTATTTTCAAGTGAAAGGTGTCATAACTGTTACTCATAAGTTAGTATTTTCATATGGAATGTTTATATATAATATATTTAACTGATGATTTGAAGTTCATAAAACATTTTATTCTTGTAGCCTGGAAACTTTGAACTGCTGTCAGAATAATATACCTCAAGTTTCCTGTTATAAATGTTTACGTCTTCTATGAATGCCTCAACTGATGGTCCAAACAGGCCATTGTGACACACACATTAATTTTTACAGGATTCTTGTTAAATTAAAATTGTTTTATCAACAAGAAAAAAATTAATGTTACTATATTATCAAACAGATTAAATGAGGAAGATGGTGTCAGTGGACATCCCAAAAAACAAGAGGTGCCTGAGCGTGTTGAAAAATGTTTAAGTACAATCAGTATTATCCTTATACTATCCAAATGAACCTCTTTCTGTGAAGTTTTCTCTATCGAGATTTTTAGCTGTTTAGTTTTTCTTCCATCAATTTCACATGCCAATTCATAAAACTCCTCTCTTTCACCATTTAGTTCATTATTCTTAGGTGTTCATATTATCCTTAGCAAGTGTGATACTGTTATTGTATGATCTCTCTGTTTTGAAATCATGCAACACAATGGATAAAATAATACTGATTTATTAATAACAAGCATTTTATAAAATTAATTTTGGTTACTACTTTTGAAATTGATTTTTGTAAAATGAAGGAGGAATTGGTGACAATACAAAGTTATGAGAAAGTAGGCAGAATTAATAGCAAGATAGAATGGTGCAGAGCAGAATTCAGACAAGCTTCCCAGTATCCGAGAAACAAATTGATTTGTGCGCCCAGCAGTTGTATTCAGAGGTCAGTAGGTGATGTTTTCTTGTCATGCCCCACTCCCCGAGCCAGCCTTTGCCAAGTCTGGATGATGTTCTTTGCTCTTTCCACCAGTAAGTTTGTAGGGCAGCTACTCTTCTAAGAGAAGAGTAAGTAAAGGAGAATCAGCTGTAGGAGTTATGAGTTAAGACACACTTGTCAGGTACATAAAGTCCCATCATGATTATTATGACTTGATGCACCACTGTTACATGTCATGGGTTTTATAAAGTAGGTCAGTTTTGATCAATTTGTACTTGTAATATTGTTTCAGTCACTATCATCTGACCTGCACTAATAATTTTTCATCACCAATCTACAATCAGGATCATTACTATAAAATTAACAGTTAAAATGGAAGGTGTTAAAATTTGGGATATGTAGGGTTACAGAATTTTCAGGTTTCAGATGGAAGAAAAAACCTTTAGGTACTGAGAGTAATAAAAATCTCATACACTGTGACATCTGAGCCCATGATGTCACGACAAGCATTAGAAAATCTCAGCTGGTTTAATGGCTATTCTGGCTGTCTGAAGATTGTTTATTTGTTCTGTCTCTCCGGGTGAATTTACCAGCTCATTCAACATTATATAACCCCTACAGTTGAAATATATTTGGTAAGAATCTAAGAATCAGTTGGTAAATTGACTTCATATGAAACACGGTTAAATTGCTATATTTTTCAGAGCGAAGCAGGCAAAGTGCACGTGAATGTCGAGCAAGGAAGAAATTACGCTATCAGTATCTTGAGGAACTGGTAACTGACCGAGAGAAAGCTGTTATAGCTTTGCGTAAGGAATTGGAGAAGGTACATTATATTTTTCTTTCTGTTTGCAAGGCATTTGACTTAAAAGTGATCAACTTTGATGATTCGTCATACAGAAATAACTGAAAAAGCTTGAACAAAGACTGAAAAGCTCTACCTCAGTTTGAAGTATACATTTTCCAAATGTGTTCTTTGTGGTTTACATATTCAATTGGTCTTTGTGATACATTTTCCAAATGTGTTCTTTGTGGCTTACATATTCAATTGGTCTTTGTATTCAGTAAATATGATTAAAAACCTGTTGCTAAGTTAGACTACAGACATCATAGTGCATTGAGTCATATATTTCATTTGATTTCACAGCATTGAAACATGTTTCAACAAAATGTTACAGAGCTTAATGAGATATGTGCTAATTTTTGTAAAATAAATCCTTTTCTGATTTTCCTTACGCGTACGTGTTGCAGTATCGGTCTTGGGGTCGAGAAATAGATGAGGGTAGAGTGCCTGAAGGGATCCCAGCTATGCTGGAAGAGCTTGGAGCAATCAAGCAGGAGAAGTAACAAGGTAAGGTTAGATGCCTCAACATGTTGAAAGAATTGTTATGTACCAGGATAAAACTTTTAAGCACCAGTCTTTCATAAATACTAATCTGTCTCCTCCTCCTTCTTGCAAAATTTAATGCACGTGTTCTCTACTCATGGATATCGTTCAGTCAACTCATGACAATATTTTTTTGACTTTAAACATTGATCACATATGACAAAGAACGGAATGATAAATAAATATGCATGGCCCTGCAGTAACATCACAGCCATGTCCCAGCAGATTAGAAGATGAATTCAATCTGCTTATTTTTATCTGACATATATGTGTATAACCCCTTTGATAAGATATTGATATTATTTAAGTATGTATGTTATCTTCACAGCTACCAACAACCAAGACTTCAGTAATTAACTTCCCTTCATCTCCTTTCAGACCCCTGCCATTAGCAACATTGCTTCCTATTTATATTGGAATTTATCTACCAGTGAGTTTCCTTTTATATTAATGTTGTGGTTAAAATATTCTTCTTTTTCTCCAATTCACAGATTAGACTGATGGCCCGTTTCAGCTTATATGAATTCCAGGTTCAGTTTGTTCTACCAGGATCTCTTTTTCCTTTGGACCTATACCAAAGGGCCTGCTTCGGCACTCGTCCTTCCATCCTTTCCTCATGTTCAAACCAATCTTTTCTGTGTCTTCTGGTTGAAATAATATGTATCAAAATATGTTTTTTTCTAATCAAATCGCTCGATGCACACATTTTATTTTATACGTAGTAATGGTACCCCATATTCTAATTTAAATGTGTGGTCCCAGGTCTTCCTTGAGAAGTTTACAGTTACTCTGCTGGTCAAAAAGTCCCCCCACTGTCATCAAACCCAGAAGTTTATTACCACGTTTATAAGAGCCCACTATTAGGCCCTCCCCTCAGCTTGCTGAATCCAGTCCACTCTCTCCTTCCCTGTTTATTTTAGGTCTGTTTTAATATTGTCCTTCTGTCTATGGCTATGTCTCTCAAGTGGTCTCTTCCCTTATTGTTTCCACAGTAAAATTTTGTATGCATTTCTCATTTATCAAACTATCGTTAATTATGCATATCCTCATTTGGTGACATTCTTCATCTTCCAATACATGTAGGTACAGTCTTATTGTGAAAACAGTACTTTAAAAAACATACGTGAAACATACTTTTATGCGTATTTTTCACTCTTGCAGTAATTTTTGGCAGTGAAGTGAAAGACCGCGCAGTGTGTCATGCTTGGAATTGACCAACAAATCTGGGACATGGGTTTGGAATCCGAGAAGGAAGTCTCAGTTTTCAGTCGCACGTTTCTTTTATTGATTGATTAATATCCTCCACGTGTGGACTGGTGTTTTAACATGTCACTGTGTGACTCTGTAGGCTATGGTGACAACATCTTTTAATTTAAGTTCACAGAACAATATTACAAGTGCATTTGTGATCCTTTGCTTGATATGAAGAAACTTTCCTTCCTTCTAATCAGATTATGGGAAAAGTGAATCAGGTTCAGATCTTGGCAGTGACATTATGACGTGAATTCTTCTATTCAGTTCCATATTTAGAACATATCTTGTCCTTAGGTTTTTGCAGCATGAGTTCATTGTTTAACTTTGGCCTTTGGGGGTGATCTGTTGAGTATTATCCAGTGTTTCTACAAACATTGCGGTTGCCGTGTTCAGGGCGAATGTGTTGGAAAAATTTTGGAACCCTTATATATGGTAATTGCCGTGTTCAGGGCGAATGTGTTGGATAAATTTTGGAACCCTTATATATGGCAGGCAGTACATGGTGAGTTGGATGTTGTATTGATGGAGTGGAAGAGCTGGTTGCTATCCCATGGAGCTTTGTCATTTTCATTGTAGCTGGGTTTGCTTTTTTGCTGTAACAGATTTAATATAAATACTTGACAGGTACCTACACACCAGACCCCTTGTATTGTGGACACTGGATGCCATTTCTAATATTAAAAATTATTTGGCGAGTTTTTACTTCTACCTCAACATTAGGGCACTTGTGTCTTGGGGAAATGGTAGGGTTATGTCATTGTCCATGTAGTAGCATCAGGTACCTGAAACATTCATACGCTGGTGATTGGTATGAAGCGTTTCTTATTAACAGTGGAGAATATTTTATTAATGCTGTATTATATGTTTACATTATGAACATTTTGCTATATAGTCAGCCAGGTGATTTATGAAATAGGTGCCAAAAAAATCTACCACTACTGTAAAAAACAAAACAGCCTTTGTTATGTGAGATTATACTTTTCCACGTCATTCAAATATTTTTGTGATATAAAATGTGTGTGCCTTGGAAACGTTTTTGTTTCAAACCGAAAGAAGCCAGAATGGCCTGTTGGCAGCTGTGATAAGATAAATGATACGTGAAGGTAAACACGATTAAAACATTCATATAGTCCAAAATTTAGGACTTTTTATATAGAATGGTTTTATATAAAGGTGATAATCTGTAATATACTGTATCAGAATTGAAGGTATTTCCTTTTTATAGAGATGTTTCTTATATATAGACTTTATTATATTTATTTTTTTATAAAATCTTTAGAAGGTTAATACTTTTATTCTTACAAATCTGTGAAAAAAATCTCATATTATAGTTTCAGGATCAGGGCAACACATTGCTAATGCTTATTGTGTTACTTCTTAGATATTCTGTTCATAATATGTCGCCAACCTCTTGTAAGGAGATTGCAAGTTTTCTATGACATTATTGACTTCACATAAGCATACTCTTAACTGCTTTGACTTCAGTTAGAGGGGAGAGATGTTATTTTTAATTCTTGTATATCTTTCATAATTTTATCACATGGTTTTTGAACCGTACTTATAAAGCTTGTTATCTGAAGCTTTAGCCTTTGAGCTTTAAAATGTTGTGCAAGTTTAAGAAATTAGGAGACAATACAGAGCATTGGTGTTGGGGTTAGAGTGCATGTGAATTTTTTTTACATAAATCATGAAGAATATATCCAATATCAATACAGCAATAATACAGTTTACATCTTGATTTAAAATTTCTGCTCTCACATAATATCAAATGTCTGTAGTGACAGCACTTCTATCCCAAATTACACTTCTTCCAGGTAAGATTTTCCTCAGTTTAGTGTTCAATTTCATTGTTCCACAGGTAAGTATTAAATGGAAAATTTACTGCTAAAGAGTTCTATTTGTTGTAGGGTGAGTCCAGTGTAAAAGTAAAACAAGATTAATTTTTAGGGTCATGAATAATCACTGAACGTCTCAGATGGAAAAGTTGCAGGCTATAGAGATTTAGATTACTAAGTTAACTTCTTCAGTTTTCTCTGTAATTTATCAAGCTGGCCTAATTTTATTGAATATTGTGATTCAGGTAAGAAATTCATAAATTTTCGTACTTGTTTTTGAGTCTGTATTAAGCCTCTCACATTTGTAAAAAGTTTATTGATAAATGCTCAAAATAAATGTACAGCCGCTCTGTAAACTCTGAAAGTTAAGAGAAAATTGTAGGACTGGTGTCTCCTTTCATAGAACTTTAGGTTCCTCACACAAAATGTAGGATGTTATTCAGTTGTCACACAGAACACTGGCACTGTTCAGTTATCACTTGATTGAGAAACACGGTACATCTCTAGTCATTTCATTCGTGCTGCCAAAGTTATTTTCCATAATATATTTTCAAAACCTTCAGTTACAACCATGTTTGTACATTGTTAGCTTTTCATCTTCACTGTATGTACCTGTGTTAAATAGTAAATAAGGACTTCATATGTCCTTTATATCTTTGTTTTTGCATGTAATCGCTGCTTTTGATTCAGTGTGTTTAGATAGTGCTGAGATTGGTGATACAATACTAAGGTTCTGGCACGGTAACAGCAGGAAAGACGCAGAACTGGCTTCTAAACCTGGAATTCCAAAGTACGCACAGCATTATAAATAATTCTCTCTTGTTAGTTTATGAGAGCAATGCTGCATTTATAGTATACTCATGATGAAACTTTTCCATATATACAGGTAGTCCCAAAAAGATGTATATACTTTATAATATGGAATATTAACCTTTTTATTGTTCTTCGTGTGTTGTGTTTAAAAGTGGAACATACTGTGTTTTATTGTTCTTCGTGTGTTGTGTTTACAAGAGGAACGTACTGTCGTCGCTAGATTTGCTATTTCACTAAGTGATAATGTTGACATATGTAATGTTTAGTTTATTAAAATGTCTTTATTATATTCAGTGAATGTGTATGTATGTATTTTTGGGACACCTGTATGTTGATGTAAACATTCAGAACAATTGTTCGCTGGAGTTGCAATGCCTAGGTTGAGAAATGCTGCTGCTGTTTACGTGTTTGCCGACACAAATTTTAATCAATGTCTAAAACTCTCTTGAAGTGTACTAGAAACAGATGAAACATAAAATGGTAAATTCAGCCCATGAAGTGTTTTTACCTTTCCCGATCAGACGCAGTGTTTCTTCAGTTGTGTTAGTTGACCGATCATTTTGTTTGTAGAAGCTGTATCATATGATGTATGCAATTTAATATGTGCGCGTGTATGCATGAAGGTGAATGAAGACTTACATAGAGTTGTTTGTGTAACTGTTGATTTTGTTGTAAATTAATACAAATATTGTATTCTCTAAAATTTGTTGTTTGTAAAAATCCTTCTTATACCATTTATTCACTGATTCCTTTGACTTTTCCTTTCTGTAGACTTGTTAATTTTGTAGAAGATTTATCACACTGACAGTAATTTTGGTGGAGGAATCTATTTAAAAAAAGCCTATTGGATGATAAAGTAGGAAATACAAACATAATTTTGGAATGAATATGAACTGGGATTTAATGCACTGTAGATTTTGAGGTTCTCGGAGTGGTGAAGACGTTAAATCCATTCTGGACTGACATGGATTGAACTGAGTCAGGATTGTGTCCAAACATGAACTTTCTTCAGCCTGTCTCGTGGTATACCAAATTATGTATTGTTAAGTACGATATGTATGTTACAGTAGAAGTATATAATATCAGGTGAATTATTCAGAATCGCCACTTGCAAATTGTACATAATAACTGGTTCTTCGTAATTGCCAGTTAATTATCGTTACTGCTACTTATGTAATGTAATGCTTAAATGTTTCATATTTTCATTTATATAATTTGTTTGATACAGCATTATACTACACAGAATAGTTTAACAGATTAAAGACGTTTTAGGAAGAAGTAAAAAGTTACTGAAGTTAACAGAAAAAGTGTTACGATTAAAAATATTTATTCTAAAGAAGAAGTAGTACATTTTTAAAGGCAGAAACAGCAGCACAGCCTATTGTCACACTTTGTGAACTGTAGTTAAATGTGTAGAAATACATTTGAATTCAAAATGTCTCTGCATACTTAATAATTGTTTTGCAAAAGTAAATGTTTACAGAATTAATTTTTTTCGCCTCACAGTCTGGAAGTTCAGTCCTCTTGTGCTTCTTGGCGTTCTTCAGTTATGCATTCGTCATTATTTTCAAGTCCCTCAACCTCTCGACCAAGTAGTCCTATTTCACCTCGGAATGGTAGCACGTCAAGGAGACCTTGTGGACGTGCACGTGGTCGCTGGCATCATGTTAGTTGCAGCAACATGTAAGTCTTCATTTATTCATATTAAAAATAAAAAGTTGTTATTAATTCTTTGGATGAAGTTCATAAAGTGAACAGACGGGAAGTTTTCCATCTCTCTATATGCATGTTTTGTCTCTTAAACTGCTGCGTTAAAGTTGTCATTGACGCTTAACTAAACACCAAACCATGCAGAAGTGTGGGGAAGTGGAGGTGTAGCTCCATGCAGTCTTAATCTTAGCACCAGATGGAAGTGATTAGCCACACGCCCCAGCTGCTTTACTCCCAAGGAAAGAATCCCATAACCCGTTTAATTCTTTATTTTAGCGAGTAAAATGTCCCAACAGAATAATTATTGCATATGTAGCATAATATATACTGTTGAAATGGAAGATATTTGTGAATGTTGAATTCAAAAGAATATTAAAGGAAACGGGAGTCGTCTATTTGAAGGCATAACGTAGACTTTGCCTGAAGGGACTAAAAACATGAGTCTGTCAGTAACGAATGCTGACTTCTAGCCAAGCATCGAACCACTTATCTTGAGAACATGAGCCACGTTTGGTAACTGGAAAAGCTGACCATTTACCATCAGATGCGACGGGATTCTCATTGCATGACCTCTTACGACACCTTCAGAGTGCGGATTGGGCAGAGGAGTTTTCATCTTTGAACAAATATTGGGTCGATCGAAACACACTTAATGCGCTGAAGCATGAAGCTAATCTAAATTATATGTTCTTACCTCGAAACTCAACACGGCTCTAATTGCAGCAATCGATTGGTTGGCGGTATTCAGGAATTACATGGAAACTTAAATGAACGATGTTTGAGGTAAAGGTAAACGGATTCAGTGGCAGCTTCACCTTCGTGCCAACAAATAGAGTTGTTGAGAATCATGATAACAGAATGTGGTGTTATCAGGCTGATAGCCATATCTTTATAATGCTGATAATGTGCTGTTGTAACCCACTGTGTGCGTTTGTAGGATTAAAACTGTTTGTAGTTTTAATACCATTGCATTTTTACCAAATTATTGTAGGAGGGTATTCGACATTTTTGGTCGTCACGCTTGGTCACGCTTAGACACTTATCAAATCTTCATCATATTTTAACATTTAAGGTGACCTCTCATCACTCCTTTATAGCAGGTCACGCTTGGTTACGTTTGGTCACGCTTTGTAAATCTTCGTCACGTTTCGACACATGATGATCCCTTGTCACGAGGTCAAAGCCGGTCACACCTGGTCACGCTTGGGCACGCGTGGTTACTAAGTCACGCTTCGGCACGCTTATGTTATGTTACGTAAGGTTCGGTTAATTGTTGATAATTTTCAATGCGTCAGATGAAGCTACAGCAGGTTAGGTTAGGATAAGTTGGGTTACTTTACACTTAAAATTATTCTTTGTCACTGGACACAGAACCAGCCTCCGAAACGTCGTGATTTTAAAGAACAGACGATGGCAAAAGTCCTGACAAAGAATAATTTTAAGTGTAAACTACCGTCGTCAAAAACCCTTTATAATTGGGTTATTTTAGGTTAGGTTTTGTTAAGTTAGTTTAGGTTAGGTTTAGTTATTTTAGGTTAGTTTGTTAGATTAGGTAAAGTTTTGAAAATATTCGTCACGTTTCGCCACTTATGGCCACATCGAGTGACATATCAGAAAGCGATGGTCTGTGAGGAGTGGAAGAATTTTAATGAGGACCGAAGAGTTGTGAAGAAGATAATATTATATAATACTCTCTGCAGTATTAATTTTCTAGTGATGTGTAGTGTAGTGAAATCGACTTTCCTGTGTTGCATACCGTGATGATATTTTATTTGGAGTGTACTGTACGCTGCCTGCTGCCATCCCTTCCAGTAAACTTATGGTACTGTCCACAGATCACGAGAAAAACCCTGCTGAGGGAATTTGTTTCTGGTGCGGTGCGGGGGGAATGTTTACTGCCTGGTGGAATAGAGGGATGCTATTGGTGGGAAGTGTTGATACGTCAGAGTTTTACGCTACTACACAGACTGAAAACATCAAGCCGTTAAGAGTAGCGTGTAGTGAGAGCACCTCTAATGTGTTCTGCGGGTGTTGCGATAATATTCTAGATTAAATCGCTGTGCCACTGTGAGGTAATCTTAAAGCTATACCCATTAGAACACATGAAAACCTGTCGTCTGTTGTTCGTTCAGTGGTTGTGAAACGAATGCTTTTAGGATCGGTCGTCACTCACCGCGAAATCTTGCGCATGCGCGTATATATCGAATTCCTAGCAGGGATTTTCTCCTGATCTGTGGACTGTAAGTGACTCGCTCCGAAGTTCCAATTCACAAAGTTCAGCGGCCAAAAACGCAATATAGACGTTTTAGGACCTCAGAGTGCGTTTGGACAGCGTATCAGCTTATCATGCGCCATCTAACTGTATCGTGCACAGTTTATCCTCGCGTTAACGACTATGCTCAAGGATTATTAAACAAGTAAGGGGAGTTGGATAGCTTTCACAGATCATAAAACTGAATAGGTTACGTGGTGGATGATCAGGGTTCAATTCCCATTACGTCATACTTTTTTCTCTACACTACAAGGGGCAGACCGGTTGCGGGGCTCATCGAATCTCCTATCCAGTGGGTACAAGGTTTTTTTACTGCCGGATAAAACGGCCGCAGCGGAAAGGGATCTATTCACCTGTACCAAATACTGAGGAATTCAATCAATATGGTAGAGAACGCCACATTAGTCTTTATTAAATGTGACTTATAACTCTGGTACCGCTCCAATTAGTGTGATATTAATTTGGGAAATTGGTAACGTTTAGTGAAATATGCAGCTCGCCTCTAAACACGATACTACGATGTGACCATTACCGACCTCACATTTCAAATAGTACAGTCTGTGAAAAAATTAACTGTTTTCAAACCAAATACTTTACTGTGACAAGTGTGACAAATCGTAGTGTAAATACGCTTTAAATACTTGTCGTATGCTACGGTGGATTATGACAGTTTCGATTGTTTCAACTCGAACTCATGATAAGAAATTTGGCCGCTTTAACTGAAAATGTCATAATAAGTGATGACAAATTGAACAATTTTTACACCAAATATTACAATTTAATGGTGGAATTGTTAATTGGCACGAAAGTCCAGCGTTACTCCGGCAAGTTTGTCATAGTAGTATGTGGTTGGACGGTTTTCATTCTACACTTCAGATCTGCTTCAAGAAATATACCATAAAGGTGAAGGCAGATGGTTGTGAAAGTAACCATTACGACGATATTTACAGATTGTAAAGTTACTCTATCCCCGATTACAAGCGAAACTCACAGTAATCACCATGTCGGGTGCCAACAATTCATTCCAGCGTGCCCTCTGCCCCTTGCTGGTGGCAGGACAGTGCTTCGCCCTGATGCCAGTATCGGGCCTTACGGGTTACGACGCCTCGACCCTCCAGTTCCGGTGGCTCAGTCCCAGGGTAGCCTACACCTTCTTGTCCCTCGTCGGCATCTTTTGTCATCTCTGTGTCTGCGTCCGTGAACTAGTCGTGGCCGATCATATCACATATTCTGCATGTGGTAAGTGGAGGACAGGGCGTGTCCAGTGTGCCAAAAGTAATTTGAATCCACGCAAATATGCTTACACACAGAGACACGTGACATCCATCTTGCTTTAACCCTGTGAAGCGGGAACTTATTTAAATAATATTTAAGAATTTAGTCCGTACCTCAAAGAAAATAACACTTTACATTACATAGATGTAGTTAGTTAATGCTGTGTAAGGAAATTATCCCTGTCTACACTGATAATGATATGAAAGAATAAAAGTAAAATATATATTTATTTATTGTGGTACTTGTGAGTTATCGGGACACATCGCTTTAAAAATAGATTAGGTTAGGTTAGGTTGGGTTAGGTTAAGTTAGGTTAGGTTAAGTTAAGTTAGGTTACGTTAGGTTAGGTTAGTTGTCATTTATTGAAATAAAATATAATAACTTTCAAGTATATGTCATTTATCCACACACACTAACCTAACCTAACCTAAACTAACCTAACCTAACCTATTTTTAAAGTGATGTATCCCGATAACCCACAAGTACCTTTATTGTTATAACACTTGGCTTTTAAAGGGTTAATCATACTCACTTCGGAGTTTGTTCCCACGTTGACTGACGAGAAATGTTTCTGATTCCGACATTTCCAGCTCCGCCCATTTTCTTCGCTGTCACTTTCTTGGCAACTTGTTTCTACCTGCGCCTGGCAACTAAATGGCCTGATTTGGTGTCGAAGTGGCAGACTGTGGAGCAGACTATGCTCAAAGACTATGGCTACCCCAGGAACTTCGAGCGCCGTTGTAAATTCTGTGCTGCGTTCATGCTCACAGCCTCAACAGGTTAGCATTGCATTCCGCCCTGTCGTACGTACACTCATCTTCTGACACGTCATGTATGCCAGTAATGGCGCTCATGTCCAAAAATAAATTTACCTTTTGAGACTTAACAAGCTCGGCAGTAATTCTCCCGTGTCCTGTTTTGGATTTATTCTGTTGAAAATCTCGGCCGATAACTTGGCTGTCCTGACTGATTATAGCCATGACTGCATGCTCTCAAAGCTTCCCATTTCCTATTTGAAGTTGATACAGCGAAATTAAATTACCTCCAAATCCATTTCTTGCCTGTTGTTCAGTGGAGCATTTGATGGCCTTGTACTCCTGTCTGCTGCGCGCGTTGCCTCGTTCTACCGGAGGACTGGACGTGGTACGGGCGTTTTACACTTCGTGGTTTGAACAGGCGTTCAAAATGACAGAGTACGCGCTGTGGAAGTCCCTGCTTTTGCAGCTCTCAAACTTCTTAGCCACGTTTACGTGGAGTTACATGGACATGTATGTGACCCTCGTAAGCATGGCGCTCACCGAGAAGTTCTTGCAGTTCGGCGAGGGACTTCGTGCCGTGAGAGGCAAGGTGAGAATAAATCTTATAAATAACGGTACATCGCGGCTGGTTAGTGGATCTGAATTTATATGAAAGATATGTGAGCTCAACTTACCCTAGAAACACTGACAGTTTCTTACTAGAGAAGGTGCCCTACTTCGGCGATCTAACCCTTACCCGGGGGGATTCAGTTCCGTTGCTGCTGTAGGACTTGACTTATTCAAGCTTATAACGTCTCAGAGGCTGAGAAAATGGAGCGGCAAGTTTAGTTACCATGTGCCTCAGTGCAAACGACGAAAGAACTTTTGCAACACTCTGTATAGCAAGAGAAGGCAGGCTTATATTTTTAGAACTTCTGTTTCACTGCGAAAAGACGAGAGAGAACAACTCAGTTACGCAACAGCCCATTATTGTAGCCACACAACAAAGTTCACGATAAATTTATCTTCTTTGTGACGTATGGAGGACATGGAGAGTAACGCAATCAGGGTTCAGGATATTGTGTCCAAATGAATTACTAATAATATTAATTCCCCTTTTAACCATATGCAAGATTTCAAATCAGCACCAATTAATTTTCTATTGAACACTTCTTTGAAATCTGTAATTTTTTCCACACGGGGTCCTTCGGCCCGCTCTCATTTCGAAATAGCCTCATCCGACCCCCGAGTAAAACTATTTGGCCACCCCTGGTGGTAGTCATTTGTTTGCCACCAAAACTGAACGCTGAACTGGGACTGAGTACTGTGTTTTGAAACATGAAGATTAATGGAATAAATAGTTTATTACACTGCAAACACAATTATAGTACTGTAGGTATCGTATTTGTAATGCAACTAATTATGCTTAAGCTACATACTCATAACTCTGGTCATTACATGTAGGTTATGTTTGACTTGTAACAATTAAAGACTTATTTTACAGTCAATAAAAACAAACCCGGTTAGAAGGCAGTGAAGAAGTTGGTGAAGAACGTACATAAAAAATAAAGCGCCGTAGGTCTGTGTCCGCGTCACTAAATCTTAGTACAAAACAGTGACACTGTTGCTGGCGCACAGACAGACGAAAGAAGCGACGTCCACTCGCATTCAGTCGGGCCGACTCGTGTAAGTTCGCTACTGCGTCTGCGCTGTATAATTACAGCTGATAAATCCTCTAAAAATGTGTCAGGTTCAAAGGGGCCTCCTGAAAGTATGTCTAAATGATATTAATGTATAGTACGTCTTCATGGTTTCTGCCTTCGGGTAAGATTTTTGGCCATTCTGGCTTCTGTTCGCCTGGATAGCAGGGTTCTTTGTTATATGGAAGTACCCACTGCTCAAATTTTTAATTTTATATCGTCCTCAGTGATAGGATGTTAGTAACAATGATGGTGATGATCCTATGGCTGCCAGAGGGGACCTAGAGATTAACGTGGGATCCAAACCACGGTAGGAACTTGATATTTTGGATTTGAGGTTCTCACAGCGGTGAGTGGTTTGGTAGAAGTTTGCCGACGTTTCAGAGGCCCGTGCTGTCTCCATCATCAGGGCGATGAGTTGTATTCCTGGAGGTGAGTCTACTTAAAAATCCGCATTACGACGACGGTAAGTTATGGACTAAATGTGTGATGTAATTTGATCATTTGATATGTATTATACAACGGATAAAAGTAAAAGTAAAGCTGTCTCGCTACACGCCATGTAGGCGCTTGACGGTATAGCTCCTACTCATTCTTAACCTCGGCACTAGATGGGGTTGAAGAGAGAGCGTCCAGTTGTAATGGCGGCGATCGCTTGTATTGATCGTCCTCAGGCCGCTCCGCTAAAGTTCTGGCGTGAGGCTCGCCAACTATACGACAACCTTTGCTGCCTGACGCGAACAGTTGATGAACACATCTCGCACCTCGTGCTCTTGTGCCTCGCCAGTGATCTCTACTTCATCTGCCTTCAGCTGTTCAACAGCCTCAAGTAAGCTCCTCCTTTGGCATTGAGACAGATTATTCTCCGAGTATGATAAGGCAGCATGGCGGTAAAGCTGGTCCTGTTGTCACGTAAATTAAAAATATAATTTCCAAGATCGTGATATATCCAATGGCATAATGCCCATGTCGATTTTTTTTTTACGAAAATGGGTCAAATAGCGTAGTATTGATTAGTTTAGTTAAATCAGCGGACGGACGGACAGACCTAGTTCGATAACAGGGTTCCTAATAAACGCCCTAAACCCCCTTTATCGCTGCAGTTCATTAACAGACAAAATGAAATACCTCTACGTACTACAAATGAAAAGTATTGTCGCTTTGAAACTGCCTTATTCTGTTTTTTCTATCTATCTTCAAAACGCCACTGTAATCCTTTCTGTCGTCTGACATTTTAATTTAACTTACCTGTAATTTTTTCCAACCCGAGTTCATATAACTTTCGGAAACATACAATATAAAGCATTTGTCTTATAGTTATCTTCGCGCCGAAAGTGTTAACAAAGAGGTGTGGTAGCACTGCCGAATAAAGTGGCGAAATTAGGTATGCGAAGATTTTCTACATGAAGTAACTAGCTCCATGGAGCAGAGTTTTTGGGAAGCTAAATGGTACACTCAGTCCCATCTTTTATGGAAACCCCGAAAGCTCATCACCGTATTCACATGAGCCAGTTGAATCCAGTTAACCAATGCCAGCCCTTGTTTCCTAAGATCCTTTTTTAATATTAACCTTTCATCTATGCTGAGCCCTTCCACGTGGACTTCTTCAGGTTTCCCAACCAAAGTTTCGTACGCCTTTCTAGATTTGGTTTGAAACTTTTTGTTGTCGCAACGTCTAGAAGAGTTCTAGGTCACTGATTCTCGTACCTTTGAGTACCAGCATAAAGAGGCCAAATGTTTTATATAGGGCTGACGCCCCACGGTAAGTGCCTAAATAAAAACCTTGTTATCCATAAAAAGGAAGATAGGTTGGTACGTGTGGGAAGTACTCTAATGGCGGGATAGAACTGCCACGACGGACATATGTGAATGAAAATGTACCAAGCGCCTGTTTTCTGCAGGAACGTAAAGACTTTGTACGGCTACATCTATTTCTTCTACTCATTTGGATATTTGCTGTTCCGAGCAAGTTCGATGTGCTTCTGCGCAGCGGCTGTGAACGAGGTCAGCCAGAAACCAAGGGACGTCCTCTACGCGGTACCTGCCGGCACCTACAACGCCGAGGTATGACGCTGATACTGAAATTGAAGCGGAGACCCTACATAAAGACGTTTCAGAGACTGGACCTATTCCACGAAATTGGGTCGTATATAAAATGTCAGCTTTCTTTTCTTATTTTTGGGTATACTTTCTCTTCGTGGCATCCCAACAATTACTCCATACTCCATACACACAGAAGAAGGCAATGGCAAACCCCTTCTGGATCATCTGCCAAGAACGTATATGAACAGGTCCCAGTCCGAGAAAAGGATGGAAGGATCCTGTTCATATGGACCTGTCGTCAGACAGAACACTAAATAAATAAATAAATATACTTTCTTAGAAATGCGTAAGTACCTTTCAGCTTCAAAACGTTTCTTTGTATCTGATGGATGAACGAGTTTTGTTGTCGCTTTCATTAAGATTATTTGGGGTACAAAATAAATTACTTCTCTCGTCTTCGTATCAGATGCATCAGAGAAACACGAACAAGAAATTAGACGCGCCTTGCTAACCCACAAAACTCACATTTACTTTGAGAAATATTAAACAGCTTGATATGTATCCATAAGCAAGTCTTCGTTAATGTTCATTAAATGCATTTGTCATTGTTATTTTCCAAAAACAAATGCACACTAGCGTTTGTTTAGCTGTTGACAATTCGGAACACGGGCGATAATTGTGTATATAACAGCCGACTGTGTTGCCGATCATTCGCTACGCGATCCAACATGCATGTCTTTTTTATCCGACAGGTAGAGCGATTCATCGATCGAGTGACGACGGACGAGGTTGCACTCACTGGATTCCGCCTCATTACGTTAAACAGACGTTTAATTCTGACGGTGAGTTTAGAAGTAAACCACAACGTGTGGTGTGATGAATGATTGTTTGAAAATTTTGTGTACATATTCCAGGTGTTGTTGTAATCTACAAATGACACTGGTAAACCTGTCTTCCTCATCCTACTCTCTTTTGTATGAATATCTATCTAGGCTTGTCCATAAGCCCGCCTGTGTCTGCTTTATAGTCGTTTAAATTTTTATCATGATTGATATTAACATGGCAACAGTACTACCTCGTCCGATGGGCGTAAAGTAGCAATACTTAATACAGAGAGCTGAAATGTTCTGTGACTACAGTTTTTTCGAAAAAGAAAAGTACCGTATGTCGAGTGAGGTATTTTGAATTCTTATGTTGGCAGTGTTTCTTAAAATCAGTTTTGTACAAAACAAGAACGTAGCGGCTCTGCGAAATATTTACCTATTTGGCTTGCCATCTGATGGCGACAACTAATTAACTCGAGCTAGACCAGGGATATTTTGTACATAAATTAAAAATACTCGTAGGCCCGCCGAACAGTTTTATATGTAATATTTTTTATTTGTGTGAAACGGTAAAGTTATCTGACAAAGTATAATCTCTACTAATAGGAAATATAATGTATGCAGAAATGGGAGATTAAATGTGTTATAGAAGGGAAGTCCAACAGTAACAAGCACGTAGTCATAAATAATGTGATAACAATAAAAATATCTAGGCCTGTTGATAATCGATACTACGATTCGTTGAAAGACGTTAGCGTGACAAGTTCAAGTTCCCATCACTGCATTCTTACAGCTCTGCCTCTGCGCGATCAGCTGTCACTCTCAGCCGCCTTATTTTATCCAATCTTTAAAAAGTTCCTCATTAATAAGTTTTCTGCCCTCTCCTGCAGATTGTTGGTTCCATTGTGACGTACGAACTTCTTCTTGTACAGCAAGGTAACGGTCAAGGTTCTTTCAGTGAAGAATTGGAATATGCAGCCAACATAACAATAATGTAACTACAGCTACGCTACTGCGCATAACTATAGGCCTTTTACATAATGTAATGCTTGCATATTTCGATTTTCAACGTAAAAATACAGTAACATTGTCCCTATTAAACAAATTATACAAAGTAAAATTAGTAGACTGTCCTATTCTAAAAGTAGAGCATAAATTGATAATAGACAAAAAAAAATGCTAATTTATTTCTCAAATATTTTAATTTTAGTACACTTTCGAATGATGTATCATATATTATTGTATTGTGACGGAGGTGTAGATTAGATTAATTAGGCTCGCGTTAGGGTCCAACAGCTGTATCTTGTGGGTACGGCAGTGAACCACAAAAGGTTGGAAATTTTTTGACTAGCTGGACAAGTCTACCTCTCAATGCTCTGTCTCGTTTTATGAGCTCGACGAATTTTCGAATTGAGTCAATTGGCGGTTATGGTTCCGACAATGAACCTGAAGAAGTTAATGGGTCTGCGTGAAATAGCACAAGCATGTGTGTGCCTGTTGTAGTCAGAGAGGAGGCATTTCTGGGGGTGTTTTTTTTTTTTGCAAAATATAACTATATACAACAAAAATAAAATGACTGTCCTTATTCCAACTTCGTTTCTGTCCATGTTTATATTAATAATTTTGAACGTTATTTTTGTTTCTGAAAAGAATGTGTGGATAGCCTGTTTTTACGAACCACCAATGAGTCGCATGATCCTGTCAAGTGTTCAAATAGGAGCCATGTAGGCCTATGTTTGTTCATTTACGTTATCTGCGTACTTATTAGATGTTTATAATGTGTAAATAGATTAACATAGGTTTACTGTGAGAATCAATGGCCTACGAAATATACAAGATTCATTGTGTGGGCAAAATGAAGAATTATTCATAAAGTAAGCGATATATGTAGTCACAAGTGGACATTAAATGGAAAACAGCTATCCCGACCTGTGTAATTGTTGTAATCGCTGTGCGGAAGTGTAAGGACCATGAAATATATTGTGACAGATCGTCAAAAATGTTATTAATGTGGCAACAGAGCAATACTATATTACTGTCAGGTTATATTTGCTAGTCAGAAGCGATATAATGTGGGTCAGTTGGTGGCTCTGGCGGATTGTCAGCGCTGCCAACTTCACTTACTGCATTTTTACCCGATTGAAGTGGAAGAAAGTTGTGCCCTCAGTCGTAAAACATTTGCCTGAAAGGTTGATAAAAACAACAAAAATATCACTCAGGATCCAAAGTCAGAATAAGTAGTCCTCTGGGCTCATATTTTATCCGGAGTCTTTTGAATTTCGCAGGAAATTACCTTCGATTCTAATTATCGTTTCAAATAATTAATACACCAGTAAAGGTTTATCGAAGTAAGCTAAAATCCAACGCAGCAAATTTTTACATTTATCCAAGGAAGCTAAATAAATCAGATCACGCAACTTTCTTTGCAGTTATTTCAGGTAAGCTTAGAGAATTATTATTCTCATTTAAACTGGTCGTTAAAATTTCGATATACATGAAATCTAACATGATTCTACACTTCTTTTTAAACTTTTGCAATATTAAATTTAATTTAATTAGATTCATCCGATCTTCATTTGATTTATGTGTAGGCTCACCGTGGAAGATTATAACGGCTGCCATATCAGCAGCGTATGAATACACATTACTTGTTGTCACATTCAAAGGTTTTAGATAGAAACTAAATAATAATTATATCTGTATGTCATGTACAAACATTTTGGCGGCCTCGCAATAATAAGTTACAGAAATGCAGATATTTGCGTTGGTAGTCGTTTAATTCCTGTTGAACATAAAAGCGTTATTTGCACATTCACCTCATTCGTATCTCAGCTGCCTATCAGATGGAAATGATCTGTATGCCAATTCTATGCTTTAATGAAAGGTGCAGCGTTTATTAGAAGTAACAGCATATATTTAGTAATTTCCGTACGTGCCCCATGAAAATGTCAGATTTCGTTCAGAATATTTTGTCTTCCAGCCTTCTGTCTAAAATGTTGGGGATTAAAATGTTTCAGACTGTTATATCACATGTGTGAAACTCTTCTTAAATAAACAACAGAATATGTGCGTTTGGAATTAGATTGAGAATATAGTAAAATATCACAAATACTTTAGAGAACATTGTAAGGTTACGTTATTGATAGAGAATTCTGGTGGCAGTTTACAGCAACTTATGCACAGGGATAGTTAACGCATCGTTCTCGACTTTGATCGGAAGTTAAAATAGAACGCACACCTACAGGTGAAGACATTTGCACGTGCTCTGAAGGTATTATTTTTCGTTCTTGTTTTGTCGCTACCTTTCAGTGGACTACGAGGAGTATTATCTTAAGTGTTTTGAAATAACAAGTAAGTACATATTGTCACTTTTCAAACAAAGAAAGAAGAATATTGTACGCTAATATACTTTAATAGCTGATATATGGGCTTGTATATGAATTTCCGCAGGCAGTGATGCCAACGCACAGTTATATAGTATTGTAATTGCATACCAAAATTCATAGTTTAAACGCTTATCTTGTACTAAAACGTTATTTACATTTGAAACACTTCCTTCGACGCTACCTGCTAGAAACCGTGTCAGCATCACAGCTATAAGCACAGAAGTTCCATTTTTGTATCTTGTAAGTTCTAATAAAAAGCAGCACAGTTTTTACTAACCCAACTTTTCTCATTTGGAAGTAAATACTAAATGTGTAAACTTAAAAGGTAAGTATGAATTAAATGCATAGTTTTTAATAGCGCTGCCCGGATATTTTTGTTTCCAGAACATCCATATGAGTTCTAGTGTGTGCTACAGGTGCAATCGCACTGGTCACTTTGCTAGAGAATGTCCAGAAGGAGGATCTGGTGGTGGTGGTGGTGGTGGAGGAGGATATGAACGCCGTGGAGGCCAACAGAAATGTTACAAATGTAACCGCTTTGGTCACTTTGCACGTGAGTGTAAGGAGGATCAAGATAGGTGTTACCGCTGCAATGAAGCTGGACACATTGCCCGGGATTGTCAGCAAAGCCCCAGTGATCCATCATGCTACAATTGCAACAAAACCGGCCATATTGCCCGAGATTGCCCAGAACCCGCAACATCAGGCCCATCCTGCTACAGTTGCAACAAGCCTGGGCATATCGCTCGTGACTGCCCCAATTCAGCCAGTAAGGCATGCTACAGGTGTGGCAAGGCTGGCCACATAAGTCGCGAATGCGATCAGGATGATAATTAGAGAACTTTGTTGTATAAAAGCTGTTGTTTGGGGGTACTCTTTTTTTCTTTTGCCATATAAGCTTATTTTTCTCAGTAAGGATTTACATAGGTACCTAAAATATGTAATTCAACCATTGGCTTACAGCAATAAATTGTTTATCATCCAGAATGAAAATATTTTGTTTGTTACAGAAGTCCTTTCAGGAATGTACTGTGATGAACCCATTTCCACACCTACATTTATTGACATGAGAATAGAATTTGCATAGGTTCTGACTGGGGATAATGATACAGTTCTTGTGTTTGCAGTAAAGAAAATGTTTACTTTGGTTGTGAAATTTTTTATGATTCATGAAATAACCACAAAATTGTGTTTTATCAACAGATAATTCTGACAAGAAAATTCATCAGAAATGAGGTAAAGTTTAACTGCAGGTCTGCGCACTGTGAGCTTTGCCGGTAACAGTATTGAATATGCTGTTGCCAGGAAAGAATTCTGTGTATATGTCTGCTGCTGTTTATATCAGCTTCTGTTGAGGTTAAGTGTGGCTGAATACCTTGGACAATTTCCACCATATCTTGATATTATGGAAGCTGTTGTGAACAATCTCAATCTGATGTTCCTAGTAGAATCAGATGATAAGTTATAAATAATTATTAGTATTATTTAATACTTGATAGTTGTGTTAAGGTTACCAAGGGGTGTCCTTAAATCTGGATACATTCTTTACTATATAAATGTTGAAGGAAAGTATGTCGTGGGATGTAGCTCTTATATTCTTATTGTAAAATTTGTAACTAGGATATTTTACAAATGTTTGACTTTTTGAAGTTATAGTCTCTTCTAGATTTGAAGGGCATTGAAGTGCACATTTTACTGGGATTTTATAATGATCACAGTTATGTTTTGATTTTCACTGTATCTGAAAGTTTGGTTATAGTTTCATGATGTAGGTACTCGTGTTCATGTTCTGTATGTAACCAATTGTGCCCTGATTCTTGGTTTGACATGTGGGTACACTTTTCCTTTATGAATAAGATTTGGCCCTGTGGTGGTTTAAGTATGAATGCCAGCAGTGAGGCATGTTGTCTGAAGAATGGTGGAAGGAATTATAAACCTTGAAGCATTGTTTTCTTGTTTATTAAAGCTTCAAGTATTAATATAACAATTGCTTTGCCATTCTTTTATAATAAGATGGCTTGTTTCATGAATATGTTTTGCGGCATGAAGCCCGAATACTGAGTGATAATTAAAATATATTTTTATTTTGTTGATGTTGGTCCTCTGGGCTGTAATGCCATGTGGACTTATAGGAAGATTTCAGCACTTTGGAGGAACAGACTTGCTCCACCTTCAGTTATGGAAATGGGGGTAGCATGTTTCACCAAAACAATATCTACCTACAAGTCCACATGTTATCACAATCCAAAGACCAACATCACCATCACACCCCTAAGAACCTTGTCTCATGTATTTTGTTTTTCTATCAGAAGGATATTTCCAAATCATTCTTCATATTGTTTAGTGTCTGTTTATAGAGAATGAACAACTTCAGCTGGTGAAGTCAAGATATTTAAATTGTCCTTATAGTTAATATCACATATACAGAAACCAAACTGAATGATGAAAATAAAGCATAGTTGAGTTTAGAATGCGGTTTCTAAATAATCCTCAAATGAAGTTTCCTGCTTAATTTTTCTCCATATACAGCTTTGTTTCTGTGTATAAGTTGATATGTAGTATGAAGTTTGTTTCTGCAGAAACAATTTAAATATGTGGGCTGAAATGTCCAAATGTAGGTGGCTACCCACAACAATATTGTACCCAGAATTGCGAATTTTCTGGATTTGTGACCATGAGCTTGCCAAGAACTCGCAGAAGAAATGTGGAAAGTAACTGCTGATCTTACCCTTTGACATATAAAGCAAATACAATCATAGTATAGGAAGGGCTTTCCACAGAAGAAAAGTTAATGCTGTTTGCTACTGATCTCAAAAATGACATTCATTTCTCCACAACATGCTTACTTTGCTAGCAGGTTTCATTACTTTTTCTCATCACTGGCCTTACCTGTATTAAACTTACCATGCCACCTAGTTGCATTTTTTTCTGATAACTACAAAATGGCCTTTACTGCATTAGGTATGGTCAGAAACATTTGAATTTTCTTCATTTGTGTTCTTTCAGGCATGAAAAAAGGGTTAGTCATCCATAATAAATGAGACTGGGTTTTTTGTACATGCTATTCAATCTGGAACTAAAATTTACCAGGAATGTTGTTTAGTTTATTATTTTTAAACAAATTGTGCCTTATTTAAAGAGCAGTAGTGCCTTTTTGTTCTGCAATTTTTTAACTATAATTAGTGACACTTTTTAATACCTGCATTCAATTCCTGTTCAACCTGGGAAGTTTTATGTTGCCAGATGTAACTTCCTTAGTTGGTATGCCAGTTTTATATAATTTATGTTTCAAAGTTTTTTTGGAATTTTTATTGAGGCTGGTGGATGTAAGAGTTTCAACTTTGTGAAGATTGGTGAGGAGCAAGAATGGGTGAATTAAGACATCATGTCATTTGTTCATGACCTTGATATGTGTGCAAATTTAAATTCTGTTCAGACAGCTGTTGACAAGTTTAGTTTATTGTTATCACTATAGCTCAGTCGGTATAGTGACTAGCTACGGGCTGGACGACCGGGGTTCGATCCCCGACGGGGGCAGAGGATTTTTTCCTCTAGCCTCT